ATCAATAGAAAGCCCTCACCGCCAAACTAACAAGGTTAAAATATTAGCGGCTGTTGGCTTGTCTAGAGGGAGATATTTAGATTTTAAATTTAGGTATAAAAATGAATCAGGAAAGATTTTCTCCACTATTATTAGGACAAAACATAGTGTTGTTCGGGGCGATTATGAGGTTTGTAGGGTTCCTCTTTCATATGGCCCGAACAACACTATGTTTTGTCCTTATAATAGCGGAGTGAATTTTTCTAGTGGTTGATAAGGAAAGCTGTTTCCATGAGCTATAGGAAAAATTCACTCTAATATTACAAGGACAGAATATAGTGTTGTTCGGGCCATATGAAAGAGGGACCCTACAAACTCCATAATCGCCCCGAACAACACTGTTTTGTCCTTATAATAGTGGAGAAAATCTTTCCTGATTCATTTTTATACCTAAATTTAAAATCTAAATATCTCCCTCTAGGCAAGCCAACAGCCGCTAATATTTTAACCTTGTTAGTTTGGCGGTGAGGGCTTTCTATTGGTGCAAAAATATCTGGTAAATTCAACTTATAGTACAAACACCTCCATTGTTAGGGATGTTACTTTATTTTTTACTTTTCTTTATAATAAAGGATAAATATAAATAAAATCTTTATCTTTATAAAATTAAAATAAAGAAATTCTTTATATTTGAAAAATAAATGTAAATAAAAAGAAATAAATCTTTATTATTCAAAACTTACGATAGATAAAATCTTCATATTTATAAAATAAAGATAGAATAAATAATAAAGAAGCTTTTTCTTCTATGAGAACATCAGCTTTAGCTTTTACTGAGTAGTTCACAAAAAGTTATGATACTATAGATAGAAATGAAATATACAGAAAAATCTGTTGTATATATATTTTTTCATGTATCAGCTTGATTCTTAATTATATCACATGTCGAAGTGATACTGATGATAAGAAAAAATATTTATTAACATATCCTGTTGTTATATTAGGTACTTGTCGATTTACCTATTATAAAAATAAACCTTTCTTTATTCTTTATTTTATCTTTATCCTTGAAAGTAAACAATTCATCTATCTTTATTTTACAGATATAACGATTTTATTTAACTTTATCTTTTATTAACAATAAAGATATACTTATCTATTTATATTTATTTTTCAAAAATAAAGAATTCATTTGTGTTTATTTTATGAATCCAATTATCGTATTTATATTTATTTTATAAGAAAAAGATAAAGCAACACCTCTAGTTCAATGGAATAAAAAGCCAATAGCCTTCTATTATCGAAATTCACATCGCTTTTAAAAAGATGGACTTGTATTGCAAGCTAGCTTTTTGTTAGCATTTACCTAAAAAAAATTGGTGGTTTTTGAAGAATTTTCCTGATATTTCCAGAGGAGCTTTTAGCGATCATGTATCAAAATATCAGAAATATTACTTGGAATAAACTTTTGCTAGAAAAAATTGCTTTAAATTACAAAAAATTGTTGTTTATTCAAAACCTAGGTTTTTAGATGCTAAACCTTGCAAATTCGCAGAATTACCGTAAAACATTTTGAAAAACCTATGCCCTGCTATTATGCCTTGTGAAATTTCTCTTATTGATGGCATTTTAATATAGGATGCCTTTCTATTCTTGGAGAGAAGTCTTTAAATTAAAATCGACTATTTTTAATTAAGCTGATTTAAGTCGGGTATTCAGATTGAAGGACAACTTTTGATTTGGTTTTCTTAGTAAAACTTTTTTTTTTCATGTTCATAAACTTCTTGTCCTTCTGGAGCAAGAAAGCTATATGATGTAGATACTTCTTGAGATATACAGAAGAAAACAAATTTGACTAGAGTTCTAGTCAATTTTGAGCTGTAGATAAAATTTAATCAATTAAAAATTGCTTTTTAAAAATCAGTTTTACTCGACCAAAAGGAATTAAACATTAAATAATTGAACTGAAATTGGATTAAAAGAGTGTCAGTGTTATCGATTTTTAATCGAAAACATCGATTAGAATTAGATTTGTCAAAAATTTTTTATCCGAGCACAGAGGAAAAAAATTTTGCCCTGCTCTGTGACGGTTTTTGGTATGGTTGAAGGAATAAAATTTTGCTTGAGCAATTATAATTGATTATTTCAGTTGTTCGATTATAAACAAAAGAATCTTGTTAACGTTATCAAAAGTATTAACAGAGCATAGCAAATTATAAATGATATAGGAATAATAAATTTAAACTAGGATACAACGTAAATGTAACGACAGAACATGGTGACCTTTATTTGCCTTTATAAATATTTATTAGAATGATCAGTTTTTTAGCATTTAACAGGCCATTGTTTATTTTACGATTTGTAAATGGTTTATATTTGTCGCATATGCATACAAAAAGAGTACAACGAAGAACAATAATGCGAATACTTGTTGAACAAATTAGAGATATTTATTTTCATTCGCCAAAACATTTTGTAGGACGACACGCAATTACAAGTGAATGTTATTTTATAAGATCGTTCAGGAAAGTTTACAAATATCGATTTAAATGTAGTCTTGCAACATGTTTCTGATTATTGCCTTTGTTGACTCATTTTGTGTATACTTATCTTTTTCCTCATGAGGCTATGTCCCAGGATCTCTATCACGTTTATATTGACTATCTCTAAGTCCCATGAAACTTTTACGGTTTATAGATCATGACGACCTAATCTTATTCATAGTATTATTTGTTTTGATTTCCAACAATAAATACATTCATTTGGAGGCTGATACGTAGCATGGTTTTATATGAAAAATCGAGAAAATTAATTTTCTCGATTTTTCATATAAACCATGCTATGTTTCACCCTTGAAATATATTGGTTTACTACTGAAAATTAAAAAAGTGATATTATGAAAAAACAAATAAGATCATTATGGCCTATATATTCTGAAAGCTTCATGAGATTCGACAATAATCGATATAAACAATGGTAGACATTCTGTGGAATATCCCTCATGTCATTTTGTTTATGACTGTATAATTAGAATAAGTAATATATCATTCGGAAGACGAGAAAAATCCCTATTGACTGATAAAAATAGTTGCCTCTAACATTTGCTTGTGAAAGGACAATATAATCGACATTTTGTAGTATTAATTTGGCAATGCATGATATCGGATCTTTTCCACTTTGTTTCTCGAGCGTGTATCCTTTTATAATTCATTTTATTGACTTCTTAGTGTACAGAAAATAATGATCAATTTAGGCTGTATTTTTTTTTCTATAAAACTTTTTTCTCATAGGATAGCTTACTAGAAAATCTATAAACTTGTTGTAACCACCACGATGCCTAAATCAAATTTGTTTCGGACATTTAGATATGAATACAAATAAAATTAGGCCGTTGAGACTTATTATAAAAGAACAAGACAATGATTGAACAGTATTAGACGGGGAACAATTAAATAAAACAAGGAAATAAATACAAAAAAATGATTAGCAAACAAAGACCTAAGTAGAAATGGACTTCAGGAACTTAAGTACAATAGTTAACAGAAAATTTATTGAACGAATAAATGTTAATGATGAAGAAAAGAAGCACTTTATCTATCATTCAATATAGAAATTTAATGTTAATAAAAAATAATAGAAATCAAGCTTAAAGTATTTCACATTTAACATCTAGTGCAATTTGTTTTGTTATTGATAGTCGGAATAGTTCATATATAATATTATTTGCTCTAGTTGTCCGTTTATTTCAGCTATGAGAAAATATCAATTAAAAATAATAATGGTGTTAAGCAATGGCAAACAGGAATATCACTTCATTAGTGCTTGTCATCAATGTACCTACCATATTAATATTGGCAACAACAACTGACTCAATTAGAAAAAAAAACATTTTTACTATAGGTTATTTTGATAAAAATTTCTGTTTGTATTATTAGCATTTTATCATCTACAGATGATGAAATAGGACTATTATTTGCAATAAAATGAGCTTATGTAGCTAAAGCTGTTAATAATAAAGTTAAATTATCGTAAGTTGGATCAAAAGGAAGTGTACCAAGTGTTTTCTTTTACCATATATGATTAATTGGTTGACACCATTCGTGTGATTATGTATTCAGAACAATACTGATGTGCTCACATCTGGTTATATTAGACCATTAATGATAAAAATCTTTTAATCATCTACTATGCATGCACACGAGACAACTATAATAGCTGCGAATTGTCTACGGTTTGATTAAATCTTTATTATATTTATATATATCAAAAGAAATTCAAGTATATATATATCTGCAAATAAAGATCTGGATTGCTTTAATTTATTTTTGATCTTCATTGATAATCATTATATCTTATTATTGCAAAATTAAGCGATCTGTTAATGATTGATTCAATAGCTAAAAGTTTTATTATTCAAACAATGATTGCTTATTGCTTTCATATGGTTTTTCAATCAACTATAGATAAATTAGATTTAACAATAATGTTAGCTAATACTGTATCAGATATATCATGTATTTCAGTAACAAGTATAATGAAAAAAAATTGGTGGCATTAATACAATGACTATTACACACATGAACTTTTTAGTACAAGAACACTGCTTTTTTTTTTGATTATTAGTTTTATTTGTGTCAGAAAAACATTCGCTTATAATAGCACATTTAGTTCGCTTTTCATAAATCAAATCGACGTACCAATCAAGTCCATATTTTTTTAATTAATAATTGTTGAAAATAATAAATGTCAGCAGCTAGTGGTATTATCAATCCTCATTAATTTGTTGATTATTATATTTCATCGATTATAATTACCTATTTCTGAAAAGATTTAAATAATCAGATACACTCTTTTCTTTTTCATTAACATTTATTATTTTTGATGAGCTGAAGTTTATATCTGATATACTATGCAGCAACTAAGTTTTCATTCTCAATAAAAGCAAAAAAAAAAAGCATTAGTAAGATTATTATTAATGAGACAAGGCAATAAACTAAAAAAAGACAATTAAAAAGAAATCATTACATCCACTTTGGATCAAAGACTAGAGGGAAAAAACGACTATTCAAAAGTTCACCACGAGCAATTTTTGGTATTCCATGTAGAAGTGGTTCATCAGTATTACTTCGTGTACCTTCAACAAAATAATTGAGCACAGCTGCACGACGTGGAGATGATGTTCGATTAGGATATGAACCATGTACAGTAAGTGGATGATGAAATGATGCATGACCTCGTTTAAGTAAACTTGGTAATGGTTGAAATTTTTTCATTTCTTCATCTGTTAAAATATTTTTTATGCTTGCCATATCTGCAAAATCCATATCAGTTATTGGTAATGGAACTTCTTTACCATCTTGAATTCTATGCCAAAGATGAGAACCTGGTACATAATGTACTGTACCATTTTCTTCTGTTTGATCATCTAATGCAATGTGTACTGTAATATGTTGCATTGGTTCAGTACGTGTCCAATATGAATAATCTTGATGCCAAGCAACTTGTCCACCATGATATGGTGGTTTAGCAAAAAGTTGATCATGCCAAAATTGAACTGGAACTAATACTTGTTTTGATGGATGAAAAGCAGCAAGTAATTGTGATGCAGGTACTGTTACAGTTGGTATAAAAATTAAATCATGAAATAAAGGTGATATTCTCCAATGACCTAACATATGTGTAACAACATTATTTGGATCATTACTTTGATTTGAATGATATTCATATAGAAGACTTTTTTCTGGAAAATCTAAACGATGTGAATCATTCTTTCCATGTGAATTTTCATGATTATTATTCCATAAAAGAAATTTTTTATATTCATCTAAAAGACGATTACATTGCTCATCAGTTAATACGCGTACTTGTGTTAAATATCCATTTGCTTTATAAAACGCTATTTGATCTTCTGATAACAAACAACGAGAATAATTATCTGGATTTACTGGTAGATGTCCGAATAAATCACCAATTGGTTTTGATAAAAACGATAAATCTGACACATCGGTCGATTGCACCGGTATATTCGTTGTCATAATTTGAATCAGCTGACTAGATAAAACAAAAAAAAAACAGAGAACTGTTAATAAATATATCTTATCTTATTGTTGTAATGCTGATAAAAATTTTAATTCAAAACAACAAAACGATATTACATAAATTGTTGCACAGAATTCACTGCAATGTTATATAAATGAACGAATAAATGGAAAAAAAATGAATAGTTCTATGAACAAATCACAGTAGATTTCAGTTAAATAATCTGTTCTGTATGAATGTTTTTTTTTGTATTTTAAAGTTTTATTTGTTTATTGCCAGAATTTAATAAACGATCAACATTACTTAAAACTGTTTTTCTTAAACCTCGTCCAGTTTGTGTTGTACCTGGTGGATTTCTTGATGATGTCATATCAAGTTCATTTTCATCTGAACTATCAACATAATGAGTATCACTATAGCTTTGTGTATCATCATATTGATGTTGTTGATTTTGAGTATTATCATCGTCATTATTTTCAATATCATTTGCATCATGTGCAATTAAACCGCATTTATCAGTTAAATCATCATTTGATGATGATGTATTAATTCCAATCGTATTTAAAACAGTTTCAGCTGTTTTTATTGGAAAACTTTTTTGACTACTTGTTGTTGATGAATTACCGCTTACATTTGCTGAACAAAAATGATAATGACGAGTGGAATCTCCACTACGATGTAAACTCGTATTATTATTCAGATTCAATCTACGATTATTCAGTGGAGAATCTGGTTCTTCAGTTAAACTTCGATATGATGAACTATATTGTTTACGAGAAATTTTGTCCGAACCATTATTAATTGATGTTGAATGTTGTTGTTGTTGTTGTTGTTGTTGTTGTTGTTGGGACGATATTGTTACTGGTGATACTGTTGTATAAGTTGTTGCATTCGTAAAGGATCCATTTTCACATGAATTTTGAGATAAAGAATATGACGCAATACTTAAATTTGATAATGACGTACTATCTTCAGACATGTTAAATAAATTTGTTAATGAATCAGATCTTTGTTTAGGAATAATTGATAAAGAATAAACACTTCCTATTTCACTTAAATCACTTGCGGATCCGGTAAATGATACTATGAAAAAGAAAAACAGCAGGAAATTATTAGTTCTTTTATATTTAAAACAACAAAAAACAATTCTAGTTACTTGATTGACGAGATGATGATGGAGTATTGTATTCTTCCATTTCGAGATAAGTTGATGAATGTGGGGGAAGAATACGACGTTGAAACTTCATCTTACTTTTCCTTTCTTTTTTCTTTATCTTTTGTGCTCGTAATTGTCGTTTCTTTCTTTTATCTTTGTTCTTTGTGATGTACTTTTCGTTAATTGCGCCTATTCGTTCACTTTACCTTCGCTATTCGAGGACGCTGAAGACTCAATCGTTTATGTGCGTTCGTTTCCTCCTTTTCTTTTCTCGTTCTACTGAAATTTAATAATATTCGCCCGATGATGTGTGTTCTGGCTGTTTTGGTTGTTGTTATTTTTTTAGTTCGTTGTCATCGTGGTTAATGCAAATATAGAGAAAGAGAGAGACAGAGCGCGAGAGAGAAAGAATAAGGGATGCAACTATGACTAAACATAGAGAGTGAGAGGGAGAGAAGTCAAATATTTTCTTCTGACTCGACCGAGACGATAACACTGCAATATGAAAAAGACTGTGTTTGGCAGACGGAAAAGACGATGCGAGAATGAATTGCATACGATAACCCCTTTGCGCTATCGACCTCGTTCTTTTGACAAGGAGAAAAAATCTACATACACATATGCGTCACTCAATTTCTCTTCTTTTCTTTGAAGCATTGAAAAGTAGTGCTTGAGCGTACGTCCGCTTGCAATTTATTATGATTTTCTCTTGCATATCTTTCTCTGTTCTGTATTCTTTCTTATATGAATATATACACAAAAGAATAATGGAGAATATAAATGAGCGAAAAAAAAAAGAAAAGACTGAATTATTAATCAGTCCAACAGGAAAATGATACAAATACACATACGTAAATACAACATGCAAATGAACGCAAAACACTACAGAGACAAAATTTTTCTCTGCTGCTTTTTTTTTAAGAGGAATCGTAAAATTTAATGCTTTATAGTGAAACGAACAATAAAACTAACAACAGAAATTGGTATATATTTAATCCACGTCGTTTGAATTACGACTGTTTTTCGACAAGTTCGGCAAATTCTAAAAAAAAAAAGAGAAACAACATTATTTATCAAAAACAATTTCATCATTCGAACTCTCTCGACACAAGAAAATGACGACGATTTATTAATATTTAATGTCATACCTTCAATAGATATTTTTCCATTGCCATCTCGGTCGACTTGAGCAATCATGCGACGAATCTAAATATAATAGATTATTCATGCATGCATTCTATCGAAAGAAAATTATTTACTTCTTCATTAGAATAATGTCTTCCTAGTTTAGCCAAAATAGTTTTTAACTCATGAGCTTCAATATAACCATCACGATTATGATCAAAACGTCGAAATGCTTCAAGAATTTCTGAACGTGAAAATTTTTTAAAATAAGAATCAGCTACAACTTCAACAAATTCTTCGAACTCAATTCGACCTTAAATAAAAATATGAAATAAAATAAAACAGAAGATAAATTAATAAATGATAAAAGAATATCTTTTATCTTTATACTACAAACCATTTTCTAAAATCAGAAAAAGAAAGCAAATAGAATTAGTGATTAAATGACTTTTATTGAGATTTATACTGTCTATATCAATTGCTGAAAACATTTGTCGTGCTTCATGATCGGTTAGATGAATACCCAACGCAGATAATGCTTGTTTCAATTCAGGCAATGATATAGCACCACTATGATCTGTATCAAATAAATCGAATGCTTGTCTAAGCTCTAAATAATAAAATTGAACATAGAATTTGCTTTTGCGTTTGTTTATCAACGGTAAAATATACACACCTTTAATTTGATTGGAAGTTAACTTTTTTATTTTCTTATTCTATAAAATAATTATAAAGCAATATAATGAAAAATTGGTATGCATATACATATACACTTACATAAGACATGATTGGTGAAATTAGTGGAAATAATCTAGAAAGAAGAGGATTTTAAAACTCTATGTGATGTTTTGTCTGTTATGTAAATGTACATTTTATATAACTATAATATTTACCTATAGGACGACAAATACGAAAATGTGAGAGTCCTCTGTCGCTTTTCGTTCGTTTTTCTTACTCCTTTACAAACATGTATGACTAAGAAAAGCAAAACATTGAGAAAGAGAGATGTGCATATTGAATTTTCTTATTGGAAGACATAAATAGATGTGAATGTTATGACCTGCATCTTCTTCAGATTAAGCCATAAGAGCTTCCTCACTATCAGTATGAGTGTGTCAATACATTTATAATCTCTTCCCTGGTTAGTCATGCATCATAGATTCTACTGGGTTGTCATATATGTGTCATAGATTTTCTTCTCTATGATATACGGACTTATGATGACGGTTTCCTTTTTCTCACATATATGTATATGTCATAGACAGTTCTCTACCCATCTGATCTTCTCTCTTTAATCTTGCTTTATGGGTTTTCCTTTCTTCTTCGTAACTCATCGAATATTATTAATTCACCATTTGCATTTTACCACCTGTTATCGCTATATATATTCGTTACATTGTTGCGATTATTGATTGACAGATAGAGACATGTACAGAAATAAAATACAAAGAAGGTTAAGATCTCACAGGGAATTATGCTTGCTTGTTGTTTATACAAGCTAGCAAGCTACTATACTGTATTCTTTCTCTTCTTATATTTCCATGGCTTATGTGTTGAAACTTCCAATATCACTAGCATGAGTACATATATATAACTCACTTGTTACTCAATTTTAAAATTCTAATAAATATTCTGACATTTTTCCTTTGGCTTCTGTTACATACTTGCTTAATAAATAGTTCTATTGATCATTTTACTATAGAAAGACGTTTGTTACTTACATTTGATAGTTATCAAATTTAATAGAAATAGGTCAACATACTCTTATTAAATAAAATCCTTTGTACAATTGTCCCCGTTATTTTTGACATAAAAGAAAGAACAGTAGAAAAATATTTTTGTACCTGTTTTGCTACCTACCAATCTATGGAGCATTCAAGAAAACTGTTATTTGTAATGACGAATAACAAATGAAATAACTAACTCTTTCCTCTCTTGATTGAAATAGGTCGACATTTTTGTCGATATTCCTATGAGACAATGACTTGCGTGATATACCAGAACAATAGAATGAAGAAAAAGAGGCGATATAGACAACTTGATTAAAGACTTGAATTTTTATGTTGTCAACATACAAACTTAATTCAATGGTTGATTGCAAAAAATTTTCTTATAAAATAATAAATGATCATATTATTAAAGTTATACTTCTCATCTGGTAATAAATTTCTCAACCTACACAGATATCAAATATGATAATCAATCAATTGCATTCTTTTCAAGCAATCGTTTTTTAGTGTCATTCATTGACTCAAGTTCATCTTGAAATAAATAAAATTGTTACTCCTATTCAACATTTTTTCTTTTATCAGATATAATTCACAGTATATTTTGAACAAAACGAAAAATAAAAAAAAATGAATAAATAATTCATTCTTGATGTGTAACTTCTAGCTGATATTTTGTTATGTTGACTATTTTCAATAAATCAAACGGCCTATCTATTTTTCTATGTAACATAACCAATAATTTCTGTTTACCTCATCCATCAATTTCTACAGATTCGTATAAGAAAGAGATACTCAATGACAGTAGTGTCACTTGCTGTATATAACCTATCAAATGTAACATCGTATCCACTATATTTTTGATCAAATGTCAGTTAGACAGGAGAGCATAAATTATGTATGTATACATCTATATATAAAAGCAGATCTATCGTAAAAATAGAAATAGAAAGTCACTTAACGTGCTATCGTTGCATCAAACAAGTAATAACAAAATGGTGTTACATGGAAAAGACAAAGCCCTTGAGCAAATTCCCAAGTCTTCAATTGCTTTTATTAGTAAAATAACACATGTTCAACGTGGTGTTTCATCAGTCACAATGCCACCTAGAGATTATTATACATTACAATTCGATCATAAAGATTTGCGAACATTACGTGGTCGTGTTTATGACACTATGATTGATTTTGAATATTCTCAAGTAAACCTTTTTGAATTAAAATTTGTTATTAATTATGTTTAATTTTCTATAGGTTGGAGAAGGTATTATCCCAGCAACAAATGATATTCATCGTGGAATCCGTAAATCTCAAATTCAAATACCAACTACTGGTCATATTTATGTCGCATGTCTTAATGATAATACAAAACAAATTAATTATTTAATAGAAGTTAATCGATTTGAAGCTGATGACATAGTTAAACGTTTAAATATTACAACAAATGCAAACTTAAAAAAATAAGACATTTTCTTTATATCTATTTATTCATGAATAAAGAATATGCATAAAGGGAAGAAAAAAAAATATTCTAATTTTTAATTTTTTTTCTTTGCTCATCTGACCAACCGCCAATATAATTTGTCTTGATTGTTTCGCTTAATATGTATTTTTATTTTTTCGTAAATAAATCTAAATTGTCTTTGTTTGTTTGTTTGTTTTCTAATATGATATTTTGCGTTTTTTATTACTAGTTGCTGTACGTCGAGTTTTTTTCATTGTTGTTCCATGTTTTTTGGATGATGTTTTTCGTTTCGGTTGTTGATCTTCATCATCGGTTAATGTTTCACTAGTTTCAATATCATCCTCTTCTTCTTCTTCATCGTCAGTTTTTGCTGCACGTTTTCCATGATGATTAACAGAAGTCTTTTTTGATTTATTATTATTTAAGGAACTTGAAGCACGTTTTTTATTTCCATTATGTGTTTTTGAACCATATTTTTCTAAAAGCTGATCATAAAAATTTGAACCAGCACGTTGTTGTTGACGCATTTGTATAGCACGTTCAAGACTTGCATCATCATTACCAATATTAAGTTCTTTCATTAATTTTTCAGCTTCAGCTGCTTCTTTTGTTAACTATTTATATAGAAAATAGAATGAAAGTACATAAATTCAGTAAGACTTTATTTTCTATTTGTTTTTTACTTTTTTATGTCGTTTATTTCTTTTAGCTTTTGTTTCTTTAGTATAAGCATCAAACGGTGGTACCTCATTATCTTCAATCATTTGATCAATCATTGAACGTAAACGATCCTCATCTTCAAGACATGTTAGAAGATGTCGTTCAAATATTTGATCCATATCACCAGCTACATCAAGATAGATTCGCTTTAAATCATTCTTTTCTTCATCAGAACCTAAAATATGAATACAATAAAAAAATATGTATTATGGAGAAATCTATGAATATTCAACCTGTTTTTTTTTCCAGAAAAAAAAATTAATATGATTTAGTTGTGTTAGTTCAACCGGTAGTTATCAGAAACTGAGTTTGAAGCTACAATTTTTCTTATACACAGGAGATTTGAACTATAACGACCTCCAAATTATTCCTATCTGTATTGAAATTTGACCGAGATATGGTAGAGTACCATTGTTTGACACACAAATTTCGTCGAGATTTTTTTCCGAACTTTATGAGGTAGTTTTGTGCATCTAGCAAGACTGTTAGTTACCCAAATTATTGTTTGAGTGAGTCTCATAAAAATAGTACATTATTCAATTATTAGTCATCTGTCAAAGAATCATCGATCAGTCAAATTAAACTATTCGATTAATAATTATTTTAATACCATCCGAAACTATTCATATAAAGAAAACCTATGCTCGTACAATTGAATATAAAATGTGCAACATCTAAGAGCTAAGCACTCTAGAGGATCACAGTTGGCATAGCAACTATATAAATCAATGAACATTTAAGAGTCTGCTGCATGAATAAATATTAGAATCTCTTGTCTTTAATAATGTACCTGATAAATATATTTTGAGTTTATTTTTAATATTCTTGCAGATAAAATTCCATTCCTGCAATAAAAAAAATTTGAAAACTGAATGATAAATTCAATCGGTACTATATTTAAATTTGGACTATCTCAAGAAGAGATACGAAGACAATTCACGAAGAGGATTCCGACCTAATGCTCCATCATATCGAACAGTTGCAAGTTGAGCAAAGCGTTTTAAAATAAGAAAATAACATCTCTATAGTGACCCTCAGTGTGATTGTCAGATTTTCAAGCTGATAGATGTCAATATTCAACTGGTGCGACAGGTTATCAAAAATGATTCACATTCAACTGATGATGATATTATAGTTGAGATTCCTTTCTCTTGTATCACAATAGAACAAATCATCAATGATTGTCTAAAGATGAGAAAAGTTATATCATGTTAGGTGTTTCTTCGACTCAATGATGAATATGAGTAAAAATAAGTTAGAATTTAGGAAAATTTCGTGATGAATCATGGTAATTATGTAATATTATTATAGGTCATAAGACATGGATTTATGATAGATAGGTTGGGCGTGCATGCCAACTAACATAAGCTGGATTAGTCAAAGTGAATCACCAATGATGATTACTCATCAAAATGGATTTGAACCAAAAACTTTGTTTTCTACATTCTCTATATTAAATGATCCTGTACTTATACATAGTGTAGATAAAAACAAGACTATCAATTAAAACTATTATATTGAAAATTGTCTCAAGTTTCTTGTCAAAGTAATATGGAAGCAAATAAAACCATCAGATATAAAAGGTATACAATTACTTCAAGACAATGCTTGACCTCATACTCATCCAGACGTTATTAATTATTCAACACAAGAAAGTATCAATTTAATGTTTCATCCAACTGTCTCACTAGACTTTGCACCATGTGATTAATGACTAAATGATTATTCCAGCAAAATTTAATTGACCAAAACAATGAACGCCTATTGGTTCGTACGGTTTCCAACATAGTGAAAATATCTTCCAGAAAAAGTTTAAAAAAATACCTCTGACAAATTGTTCGAAAGAATGAAACTTTGTATATAGAATTACGGCAACTATTATGAATGGGATAGAATAGTTAACTAAACTCTACTTATCATTGTAGACTAGACTGTGTGTAATCTACCTATAAAGAAAGCTTCAATATTCATCATATGCATTAGGTGACGGTCAAATTTTAATAAAAATAAAATCTTGAAATCACTGATTGAACTTCATCAGACGTTCTTCCAAAGCTGTCTTTTCATTGAACTAGCACAACTAAATCTGATTAAAAAATTTTTGCTAGAACAGCGGTTGATGTCCATGGAATAATTCAAATATCACTTCTTTACCTTTATATTTATTTTCAAATTCAACAAGATCATTTTTTGTAACTTTTCGAAACATTCTTTTACAATAATCATACCAATCGTTTATGCCCATAGTTAAATCATCATCATCCATGGCACCTAGAAAATATTATACGCAAATATTTCAAAAGAAGTAAACAAATGGATTTTCCGTTACTACCGGTATCATCATAAATTTTTCGTTTTTCATCATCAGAAAGAATAGCATAAATTTTACCAATAATTTGAAATTTCGTTTTGGCTTCTTCTTTCTGATCGATATCGGTTCGATCTGGATGATAACGAAGAGCTAATTGACGATAAGCTTTTTTCACTAAAACAAAAAAAAACAATTATTCAATCATGTGTCTCTTTCAAAAGTATTCCAATTTTAATAATTATTCATATTTCGATGAAAAACAAGCATTGCCGCGCTTATTATTATTTTTTCTTTCTCATTTATGAATTGATACCAATAAATTTATTATTGAATAAAAGTTGAAATTCATTTATGTGTCTAAACCTATCTGTGTTTCTCACGACAATGAATTCTTAATTTGAATAATTAGATCATACCTTGTGCATCAGTTGCTGTTCGATGAATTGAAAAAATCTCATAAAGATTAGCTGTTTGAAAATGTTGCTGACATTCTTGTGTAAGACCACGTTGTACTGGCATTTTTATTTTACTAGACGAAATGAATAAAGAATAGAAAGAATAAATGAATGCGTGAATGTTTTATATATATTTATATACTATGTTTTTTTCTTTCTTTTAGAAAATTTGACAGATATATATAGAGTTCTTTGAACCAATCAATACTTTAATATCAGCTGTGTGGAAGGTAAGAGAACAGTTTTTTATTAGTTAATCAATTCAACCAATCAGTTAAGATTTTTCGTTTAAAGAAATAAAATAGAAACAAAAAAAAACGTCTCTAGGGGCAAACATTAGAAGAAAGCTAAAAAATAGCCTATTCTATTTTTTTCTTCATTTATCTGTCAGAATGGTTTTGCAAATAACATAAAAAATACAAGACCATGTCAACTGGATCATCAACTATAGTAGCAGCTACTAGTAGTGGTACACCATCATCAGCCCGGCCTACACAACAAGCATGTATTGCTGAACCATTAGTAGAAATAAAACATAATTGGTTAATTAAAAATGTTCAACATAGCAGAGATGGAGATGAATATACAAGTGAATTATTTCCATGTACAAATTGCTCAACTAGGTAAAGATTTCTCTATACTTGATTTTAGATATATATATATATAATGTGCAACAAAGTTTTAAGATACTTTCTATTTCTGGGAAGGGAAAGGAGATAACAGCTATCTTTGGAATGACAGATGCAGTCAGAGCTATGGTCTAAAAAACTAATTTATTGTTGATCAAGTTGATTGATGGATAAATATAGAGGACAAATTTCAAACTTTCTTCAGTAGGCAAATATGTAGGACATTTTTAGTATTTTGTCAATTTTTTCATTATCAAACACTACAGAAAATTTTAAAGAATATTTGTCAATTTGATTCAGAATTGAATGGCCTACAATTTTTTTTGTAAGAATTTATCACTTTCTACTATACCATTAGAAAGAATATTGAAAACTGTACAAAACTGTGTGTTATTTCGATTTCACAATATTTCATTGTAGCAGGGTTTTATTTAAACATCATTTAGAAGTTAATTAATACTTTATTGATAATTAAGAAAATTCAGCCTTGAGGAGAAACTTCGAAAAATTGTACATTTTCTAGAAGAGAATTTGTTCCATCACATGAGACCTTCCACTCATGTATACAAAGTGTCTTCCGTCAGATGTAAAACTTTGATAATATTAGAGCACAAAATAAGTGCAAATCACTTGAGTTTTGTTTTTGAAATTAACGACGAAATTTTATGAGATTGTATCTTATGAAAGATACTATGTACACAAGATCAAAAGATCTCATGTTATAAAATGAATTTTACTCTATAAAAATGTATGATTTTTCGAAATTTTGAAATTTTTCTTGGAAGCTTATTTTTCTTAATTAGTAATAGAGTATTAGTTAACCTTTTATTGGTTTTGAAAGAAATCCTATTACGGCGAGTTATTACACAATAAAAAAAAACACGCAGTTCTATATAGTTCTTAATGTTCTTTCAAATAATATACCAAAAATTCATAAATTCTTACAAAATTTTTTCTTTCGTTATTAACTAATAAAAATCATGATAATCAGTTTTTCTTGAAAATGCCTTTATACTAAAATGTAGTCCATGCAATTTTGTATCTATTATTGTACTCTTCTCAATTTTCAGTTATTTAATAATGAAACAATTGATGAAATACTGAACTTGTTTCAAACTTTTGCCTGCTGGAAAGAATTTGCAATTTTTTCTCCTTAGTCATCTAATAATCAATTACATCAAGAATAGATATATTATGTAGATCTTAAATCTTATTAAATCTCTCATGTAAAAAATAGCTGTTATCTACTTTCTTTTTCCATATATAGAAAATGTCTTAAATTTTTTCTGTCAATTTTCTGTTCTTTTTCTTTTTAATTAGTTGGATTATGCGTCTTTATCCATCCTATTGTGAACGTAACAGTATTTTTGTTAAATTTTATGTTTTTATGATTAAGGTATACTATTAATATTTGAACCGTAAAAGAATAATTTCGATTTCTTTTCTTTTCTTTTTTTTTTACAAAGCCAAAATTGCGTACAATTAAAGCTGAAGTTATAGTTACATGTGAATATAATGAAGAAGAAATTTATAAATATACATGGTCAAATGCTAGTTTTTATTGTGATCCGAGTGAATCATTCGATATAAAACGTAAACATAAATAAAAAGAGAGTATATATATATATATTCGAAATTATTTTCATTTATATTCTTAGGTAATTATGTTATATCTAATTTTTTAAAATCATATATTTCATCATCACGTGATCGTCTATTATCATGCCCATCGTTAACGATAACACTTCAAATACGCCCAATGTGTGATGCATCAGGATGTGATGATTTACGTTTAATTAAAGTACGAAATGGAAATACAATTATTGATGAACCATCATTTACTTATCAGTGGGTTATTGAGGATTTTAATACAAAAACAAAGGTATTTTAAACTTTAAAATCTGATTTTCTATTAGACACCATGTGTAGTTTCGCAATTAGATGAATATAACTTTTTTTTAATGAACTCTTTCTTATGTGAATAAGGTGGTTTTATTTATATATATCCGAGTATATATGCTTGAAGAAAATCGTACTTCCTGAAATTAGATTCATTACAGTGATTATTATGATATTGCTAGTGAAAATAATATATTTAACAGTGAAAAATTAATAAATGAATATTCATTCGATGTCGGTTAATTTATTCTGAATGTTGTTATGTTAACAGTTCTTTTTAGTTGACAAACCTTGAAATTTGATATCTAGATTGGATAGTGTTTCAAGGTAAAACACCAAATAAACATCAATGCATCTAAGATTTATTTTTCTATCTATATCAGAGTCCTTTTTTACCGTCAAATGAGACGAACTGGAAAAAGTGACAGCTGTTAGTATAATTCATATGTATTATATGCCACCAAGAGAAAAATATAAAGATTTAAAAAAAATAAATTTCGCTTATCTCCTTCCTTGTGTAATAAAGTTTATATAAATCATGTGATAAAAATAACACGTTTTTTCTTCTATCACAGTTGTGTTTTATTTGAATGACACTAACAACTGATACTAGCATTATTTGAAGTGATAAATCTTTTAGGATTTAGAACCTATGCATGATGTACATCTTAGTAAGATATGACAAATCCCAAAAGGATGAACGATCTTTACTCTTTCCTTGAGTGTTAGTGTCATTTAACTAGAAATTTAGCCTATAGCATGATATATACCAAGAAATCGTATGACGGTATTTCGCCTGTAGGTAGATCTACTGATAAATAGAATGTTCTGAAGTTTCTAGCTGAAAACAATGTTTCTTGCACGAGATATTAAATTTCCAAAAACAAAAAAAAAATGAAACTTTCTCATCTTTCATTAATTATGAATAAAATGTGGAAATTCAATATTCCGTGATGGAAATATTCTTTTAAGTTGAAAATTTCAGGAAATTCTATTGACAAGTAGGCCTATTTATAGGCAAAATTTCATTTCAAAATATCATCATATTATTTCTTGACATATACTGTGCTATATACTAAATTTCCACTGAAATCACTATAATTCTAAAGAGAAAACTTGATGGCATATATCTTTCTGGAATTTTTCATATCACCCTACGTTCTAACTTATGCATAGAGTTCAAACTTCAAAATGTCTTATTCATTTCGAACAGTTTCCTTGTAGGAGTAAACAAACCCTATGATGGCTCATTTCTTTATTGTTTTTCTCTCAAGTTATGACAATATTATTGATTTTCTAGCCTATTGCTACTTATGTCGCCATTTTAACCATCAAGAAGTCTTAAGATCCATACCACACACTAAAAATTACACTTAGACCGAATTTTTTCCACCTGTGATAACAAATTTACAAGAATTTTTTTTTCTTTCCGAATCTTCTCTAGAATATTTGCATTCATTGATGATCTGATATCTTAAGAAGGCAACAATGGCTCTAGATAAAACTTTTAGTGTATTATACGGATCATAAGACCTTCAGATAGCCAAATTTTTAGTTTAAAATGGTAAAATTCAATTTTTGATGATATACTCTACATCAGAGGCCGCGACGTTGGTCTCGAACCCAGTCAGGTCAAGTCTGGCTTCGAAATTTTAGAACTCGATGAGCTCTACCCCACACTAGGTTAGAAACTCAGTCAATTTACCATGGCTTGAGAAGAAAGCAATTGAGCAATGAATCATTAAAGAGTTTGCCTACTCTCAATGAGCTCTATCTAATGACAAAAGTTTTAGTATCATGTCGAGAGACTCTCTTGTCAAAGCAATATTTGATTAAATTTAGTTAAAGTATACTCGAATATGTTTCTTTTAGTTATGCTATGAAGATGAATGTCTTGAAAGTTCAATATTTACATTTGAACATAAATTAGATCGAAATTATGTACATTTAAATAATTGTTTTCAATTATCATTAACACTTCAACGTGAACAAAATATGATTTTAATGCTATATCATTTAAGATTACGTATTAAAAAACATTTACAATATAAATTTCGTATAGAATTTTTCGTTCGTGCTAATTTTTCAACACGTTTACTTAAAATGAGTGATATAGTTGATCCAGTTGATGAATACATATTTGATCCATTTACAAGTAAAGAATTAAGTGATTGTACACAACAATATAATTCTAGTCCATGTTTGGTTTTTTTTGCACGTATTGTACTGTATGGACAAGAAAGTAATTCAAAATTATGTTTAAATCTATTGGATGAAAATTTATTTTTAAATAATTGTAAAACAAATACATCATTAACAAAAGAATTATTTCATACAGGAAAATTTTCTGATATTAAAATTAAAGTTGGTACAAAAGAATTTGATGTTCATCGCTGTATACTTTCCATATCAAGTGAAGTATTTGAACGTATGTTTTTATCTGATATGATTGAAACACGTTCAAATGTAATTGAAATAAATGATATATCAGATGATATATGTGAAGAAATGCTTCGTTTTATTTATTGTAATGAAATAAAACATTTAGACATAAATGCATTAGATCTTTTATATGCAGCCGATAAATATGCTATTGAAAATTTAAAAATATTATGTATACAATCATTAATCAATACATTTACATTTGAAACAGCAGCTGAAATGCTTATTAGAGCAAATATTTATAATTCAAAATTACTCAAAGATAATTTACTTGTATTTATTAAAACATATAGTAAAGAAGTATTTGCAACAGAACAATGGAAACAATTAGAACGAACACAGTAAGTTTGATTCTCTTTTTTCTTGGGATAATAACTCGTAGAAAGCATTGATTCTTATAGACAATAAGGATGGGACTCAAATGAATCGTTGGTAGGTAAAAATGATTAGAAAATAATGTTTGAATATGTAATAATATTCAAATGCTTAGCGAATTTTCGATGATTCAGAGTTGGACAAGGTACTCGAAAACGTAGATAATTGTGCATTATATCAAAATAATGCTTGATAGAATTCTAGTTAATATTTTTCGAGAATGAAATGAACAGTCGATTTCTTCCTTTTTGTTCTATACATATATGTATTCATATCAATACATATGCGTCATACTATGATATAATAACAGGGGTACTTTTTCTTTTGTTATTATCTTTTGCTAGTCATATAGTACGTAACTAGTAATCGATTCGTGTCTATATGTTATATAATTCTTTTTTCTTTCATACACATGGTTCATTCTTAGTGAATATAATGAATTCGTTGTCGTAATATCACGAATCAATTAGAATGTCAGTGCTAGTGAAGAGAAGACTCACACCTCAAAAGTGTTGAAATTATTTTACTTTCCTCAAGAAAAATCTTTATTGTTCTCTGTTTGAACTTGATCTAAAACATTTGTTAATGTTCGCTAAATCAGCTCATATTGAAAGAATATTTTCTCAAAGCAGCTTTGTAATGCGTCCATATCCTGTATTTTTAACCTTAAAAAAAAATTTATACTTGCTCACTTTTCTTAAATTTAATAGAGTTTTGGTGTAGTTTGATTGCTTGAAACTGGATAATAACATTTTAAATCATGATTCTTACAATGCTTCGATCTATAAACGAATATATCATTTCTAAAACTACTACTTCAATTTTTTCTAGTGAGGCCTTATGTCATTAACTCTTATGTACTTGTGTTCGAGAAAGAGGATACTTACTCACCTCTGCGATCGTTCGAATCTTAAAATTTATGTTTCCTTATTAGAGTGTCACAATGACCTTTCAAACGATAACATCTATTTAATTCTCTAATAATCAGTTGCAGTGGCAAACACTTGACACCGGTTATTCATATATTCATTGAGATTTTTCAATTAACTACATATATCCGATTAATAACAGTATAGAATACGGAAATATTTTTTTCTTCTAAGATTTATAGCACTGAAGACGATTATAATTGTAATTTGAACGATGCCTTATAGAGATCGATCAGAATGCCCAGTACTCTAGCTTATGCATACACGTTTTGTACAGATCCATCATTTTTTTTTGTTCGATGAAAGTGTTTCAAAAGCGAGAAATCGTTTCCTTGATATTCTTAGAGTTCACTTTGACCCATGAGATGGCGCAACGTTGTCTAGGCGTGCAATAGAGAGCCTGGAACAGTCCTGCATATGTCTAATGGTCTATCTTATATAAAGCTAATTTTACAATTAAATTTAATAATTATCCTTATAAAGCATGAAAAATAAATTGTCTCGTCGTACATATCTTCATGATGCACTATGACTATCTTATTATCAATCTAGAAAGATTTTAGATACTCGAAACGATCTGAGCAACTATTACTGAATAATATATGTATACATATATATACTTTTATTTATTTATTTGTCTTTTTAGACCATATCTTCTTGTTGATGTGTTACGATTTTTGGCTAATGGAACATACACATAAATTTTCTTCAACACTTCTATTACGAGACGCTATCGTTCAGATACAATTGTTCGTTTTTTTCTTTTTGAATCTGGAATCTCTTATAATATATATATAATGTACTATCTTGTGAATTTGTTTTGTTCGTTCCGTCGTTATCTATTTATATTTACTGAAATTTTTAAAAACAAAACAATCGCTTTTGATTGATTTTTTTTGCAATTTAAATTAATAAAAAAAAATCAAAGACATCTTTTAATCTTTAGATGCCTACATCTGATTCATCGATATTTAATCCAGATCAATTAGTGTCTAATCTTCAACTACTTAATAATATTGGACGATTGCTTGAAATTGATTCGTCACAAATAGACGATGGAGAAATATTTTTAACTAAATTACGTAAATTACAAAATATTTATTATCTAACACAAAATCGTTTAGATACATTTGATGTTATTTTACCAACAATACAACAAAATTATATTGAAATGACAAATTTAACTAAAGTATTACATGAGTAAATAAATTTAAAAATAATTAATTCTTTAGCGTTTTTTTTTGTTGTTGTATTATTTTAGAAAACAACAAAAGATAATCAATTGTCAAAATGCAAAATTTGATGAATATGAATCAACACGTATGACAACAATGGCTGAAATGAAATTCGTTGAAAATAAATTACAATCATTTGATATTAATGCTAAACCACCAGTTACTCATACACAAATTGAAAAATTACAAAAAGTAATTTTAATAAATACAAGAAATATCTTAAGAATTTTTTCGCCAACCCTTTAGACAACTATTCTACAGTTGGTTTTAATATTATTTCCAAAATATTGCTCCTCATAATACCATGTAGTTGATGTTTGAGTTTTGAAAGCAAAACGAAGTAATATAGGTTCAGGTTTGACAAATATGCTAGATTCGGATGCGATTTCATATAATAATCAGTCAAGAAATCGCTGATATATCAGACGTTGCGTAGTCTTTCGTTTTCATGATGAAGAGTGAGAGCGAACAATCTAGTCTGTCATACTCACACTAGTACCTGTATCGGTCGTGAAAAATTCAAAGAGATTTCATCTCTGAATTAAACATTAAATACGAACCTTTTATTTCTCTGCTCATATCATGGGAAAAACAGTGCTAGGCAACTTTTGATAGGCTAATTATGGTTTACTAGATCATAATGATATGGACTTGGTAAAACTAGATTTCGTGAAAACAATTGATCTGAGCTATTGTTTCGATGAACTTTGATTATTCATAAATTAGTTTGTAATAGTCCATAAGTCTGAGATTTTATATATAATCCTAAATATGTCTATGCATTATATTAGGATAGTTATACTGAAATCACATCTTTTAAAAGTGTCAGCCAAAAACACTTGTGACGTGTCCTATAATAAAAAAAACCATGGTTGTTAATGAAACTTTTTTTTGTTCAAGGACATGGATAATGCTCGATGTGAATATGAAATTCTTAAACAACAAATTGCTCATTGGATGCCATGTGATGAACCAGTAAGTTTTACAGAGAAAGAAATCATCTTTTAATTATATTTTTCTTGATTTTTTGCTTGAACTAGACAATTGATAGTTTAACAAATAAAGTTGAAAGTATACGAGATGAACTTGTAAGAAAAAAAAAAATATTTTTTTAATTTATTATCTATTAAATTTAAAATTATTTTATAGAGATCAATTGAAGATGAAATTTCAATGTATGTTACAGATGCATTTCAAATGAACAAGATAATCTCATCAGAATAAATATATATATTTTTTTTTTCTTGTATCAAATAAAACGTCAGATAAATTTTCTTTTTCTATAGAAATAAATAAATATACATCTTTGTTAAAAACTATGGATATGTTATTAGTATTTTAGATATGCGTCATCATCAACAGTATCATCGAAGACAGCATTCAGCTAAATTGAACAGTAATGATTATGATCTGTGTCCTACAGGTGGAGATGATGATCAGGTAGTTTTTCTTTCGAAGACTAGGCCATACAAAAGATCAATAAGAAAATGAAATTCGATCATTCGAATAGACGAGCTTTTTGTTTCACTTTTGATTTTTCAAGTTATCATTAAAAGATAAACGTGAAGAAATGAAATATTAAATTCTTCGTAGATAACTTCGAGAAAAATTGAAATTTCTTTATTGTTTTGTCATAGAACTTATTCTGCTGTATTATTGAATGACATATAATACAACAAGTTCACCTAGATGGAAATGTGGAACTAGTCATTTTGTTTCGCATTGACACCAAACCCATAGGGCACTGTTTTCTAATTATGATCTGTGAACAATTCAGTCATCATTTTGATGCATTTTTCCTAATAAATAGATCACAAGTATCTGATTGTAGGAAAAAAAAGAAGTACTAAGGAATTACATCAAAGAGTTTTAAAGATTCAACAAATTTATTTCGGGTTACTAACGAGGTAACCATTTGAACTGATAGCTGCTATTGGAGTTTATATTAGATCTACAAGGACATCTTGTGAAGATTGCCAAAATCCTAAAAGAGTTCGTCTCCATGAATTTTTGGAGCCAAATAATGATCGTTTTACTGAATATTCGGTTCAGTTTTAAGGGTACACTGGAAATATAACAAAAAAAAGATTTTTGATGAAAACTGTTTTTTATAGGTAGATCTAATGATTCATAGGACATTCTGAAAAGTTTTATCGAAAAGACTGTTCGTTTGTCGAGATATTAAATTTTCAAATAAACTCGATTTTTTTTGTAACATATTTGTGCTAAAGTACTGTACAAATATCACTTTTTCGTACCCTTACTCAGTCATGATAATTGAACCGAGAGATGCAGTACTCAAGATTGTATCAAGCAATTATTTTTATCATTTTTAATGTCTCGACAAAAGAAGATTGTTTTCGGCTGAAACTGTCAGAATATTTTATGGATCGTTTGACCTACCTATAAGCGAAATTTTACATTATAACTTCGTTTTTTTTTTGAATTCTCATTACATACCTAAATATGGATCAAGTATTCCAGGAAGCGATCATAACATGACTTTAGAGACCGGTAAAGATGATCTCTTTCAGACTTTTTCTAGTCAAATGACTTTTTAAAATTAATAAATTAGATCATTCTTGATTGCAACATGATGAGATTTTCGAAAAATTCAAATCAAAAAGAAAAAAAATTCAATTCACCTTTGTATCTGATACTTAAGAAGATATATTTGTAATAAAATAATTATTTTCTTGTAGTTTTTACCGAATATGCCTTATCGAATGATAAATACAAACATAGATTCAGTTATTGATTATTTAAGTGATGATGAATCTGATTCTGAAATACCTGCTGGATGTGTAAGTTTAATTTAAACATCTGTTTTTCTCTTAAGTAAATTGTTATTGTTGTATATAGAATTTGGATGTACCTAATCCAGTACGTGAAGTAATTTGTCAAATGCTTGATAATTATATAACTGATGATAAAGCTAATACAGAAGTTGAATTTCCATCATCATTATTTTGTCATGAACGAATATTTGTTCGTCAACAAGCACAACAACGAAATCTTGTTTGTCGAACATTTGGGTAAATCTTATCTTTCAAATTACAAAAAACAAAGGTTTTTCATATATTTGCTGTTGTTTTTTGTTTCTACACTTCTTTAGACGTGGTGCATCACGTGTAATTGCTGTTTCAAAATCAACAAAGGAATCGATTTTAAATAATAATAATAATAATGATTCAAACAAACAAATAACATTCTCATTAAATAATTTACAATTAATTCATGATATTAATATTTATTTACAATCATGTCCTATTTCTGCTGAAGATAACGATTTACTTCAAGCTAAAATACAAAAAACACCTAGTTCTCTGAATGGTAAATTTGAATTAAATATTTTCTTGTTTTTTTTTTCTTACATATCTTTTTAGATTGGTTTTATTGTACTTTATTACGATCGGGTAACCCACTTGCTAAAATATCGGATATTAAACCTCGTATACCAGATCAAAAATTTCTTTCTCATGAACATTTCATTCGATTATTACCTATTGATAAAACGCCAACATGTGACAATATTCTTCATCTAATTGAAAGTACTAGTTAATAGATAAAATAGAATAAGAAAGATAAAACATAACTTGTATTTCTTCAGGTAATAAAATGATATTCTTAAGTGGACCACCATCCATTGGAAAATCGATTAGGGTATTTTTTTTTCTATTTTTTTATTTCAATGGTAAGTTATGTTTTTAATTCTAATTAGATTTGCCAATATTTAAATGATGATCATTTTGATAAACAATGGCCTATTCGTATTCTTCATAGTTGTACAAATAGTCTTGCTGCATATGCATTATCGACAATTTTATCTTCATTTAATCAACCGATTGATTGTTTTACATTTGAAAACATGTAAGTTGCTAGCAATACGAGATATGAGCAAAGAAAATTTGTCGTAGTTCGACAGAGCTATTCGAGCTACCATTCAAAATGTTATTTCCCACATATTCCAACGATGTTTTTCTAGTGAACTTTAGGAAAATTAAGTTAAAAAAAAACTAGGAAAGCCTATAAAAGTTGAAATAGGCCAAGAGCATTAAGTCTCAATAGTCTAAATACCTTCTTAGATTTTTCTTATCATATGTTTCAGAAAAAAATATGGATGTTTTTTGAAAAATATTGTATGATGGTTGAGAAAATTGGTTTTTTTGACGTGATAGCAAAACGCCATAAATATGGATTTATATTCAAAGACTTTGACCATGAGACTTTTAGTTACGAATGAAATCAATATCATATTGGTCAGAGTATTCGAAAATAACAATGAGGCGGTATAAAGACCGAAATTTGATGAAAATCAGCTTTAAGAGTTGAGTTTGCTATGTGATGTAAATTTTTACACTGATTCTAAGTATGATGTTTGAGTCATTAGAAACTAAAAGTTCTCATGAAAGACAGTATTATGGAAACGTCACAAACTATGACAGACAAGTTAGAAAACAGCTCATTAATAGAGCCCATTACAGTGGATCTGGGCCCAGACGGGTCTGGGTTCAAAAACGGTGGACTTGATACGCTGTATCATACAAATTCCTCAGACGAGTTGATTGAGAAATGAAGTCGTTTCTGATTAGTCATTAAGCTAATTTTCATTACGGAACTACTGTTTGAATATGTCAAAAACAACATTGCTATAGGTAAACTCCACAAGCTCTATCCAACTATGACAAACAATAATTTGCTCGAATCTTATCAAGAATAGAAAATAATTATTTTGAAAATTTTCTTTCTATACTATAGGTCATTAACTGCTGAATCAACATCATTAATTACAATAACAACACATGAATTTCTTTTACATACATTAATAAGTGGAGATTATTTACTAAAATCATCAATGACACATTTAATTGTTGATGACGTGCATAAACGATCACATACATTAGATATGTTATTAGCTTATTTGAAAGATACACATCATAAATTTCGACATTTGAAAATAATTCTTATACAAACAACAATACAATATGATACATTAGTTAAATATTTTGGAAATGTTGCAACACATACAAGTATTGAAAATGACAAAAGAACACGAAAATTTCTTTTTTTTTTTGATTTTATTGAATAAAATTTTCTTTTTCTAGTTGATATGAATGGAGTAATGAATGAAAAGATTGAAGAAATGTTTCTTGATCAAATTTTATTTGATATTGAACGAATTGATCAGAATAAATGTTTATCAATCGGTAAAAGAAAATTTAAATAAATATAATTTAGATTTCATATTATTTTCATTAAATAGCTAATTATGGAATGCAATTATTAGATCATTGGTGCCATTTAGCAGAACAAGCATCCATTCATCATCAGACATCATCGTCGATTATCTGCGAATCATGTCAAAATATTTATTCATTATTAGTATGAAATTGATATATTTCAATGATAAAACTTTTTATTTATTTATAGGAACAAAATATGACAGCAGATGAAAAATATCTGAGCACGTTAATCGGTCGATGTTTTATCAATGGATTAATAGAAGATTTTCAATTGATGATGAATTTTATTATTCAATATCCAAATAAATGTAAGATTTATCAATTTACGAAAGCTGCCTATATTTACACATCTACATGTATATTTTGAAATATATTCTTACAAATAATGAAAAGTTTAGAAAAAATCAGCTCATTGTACTATCAATGCATACATAGTTTAGTACTTATGTTTTGTAAAAACAATTAGATTTCGTTGATAAACATTTTCATGTATACTAGGAATGGTATTGATCTGAATTTTTTTGTACCAGTACTAAACTAGCCAGTCTACAATGAGTGACTTATACATCAAATAATGGATGAATATTGAGGAACGGTCACTTAAAATATTGAGAATTTGTTTTATTACGAGACAAGCTTGAGAGGTTACGTTACATCGGATACTTTATACAGTTGCATCAGCTTTCGAGATAGTTTGATATAGTGTTATTGTGATTAATAAACTATTAGTGAATAGCTGGCAAACATGAACGAGATCAATCATTGGCTGAAGCTGAAATCATCTTATCCATGTTTTTTTAAAACACATGACTTGCAGCAATATGACATTCGACACGGATTTTATGTGACCATGAAAGGTACCGCACTCAATCAAAAAAAAACACTAGTCCTGGTTTCTATAGGGTCGGACCCATCTTGTCCATATCCTACCAACTGATCAATCACTAGCTATCTGCCAGTAGTACCAATCCCATCGCTAATGTGTTCAAAAATTGAACTTAGATTTCACTAGAAAGATAACCAAAACGCGACAATGCAGATTTCGTACATATGACTTTGATTGATTGAATTCAATCTTTAAATATTACAATGAATGTTTTATTTAAATTAATTGAAATTCAAATATTTTTCTTAAGGTAATTATCAACATCCATTAACACTTGTAACACCATTAATGTGTATATCAATGTGGAGTATAAAGACATTTATTGAACGTTTATTATTAATTGATAGTTTATTAATTAATCTTCGTGCTGTAAATAATTTTTCTGCTATTGATTTTGCACGAAAATTTGCAACTAATGAAACAATTGATCTACTTGAAACTAATATAACGTAAGTATTTTAACAAAAATTTACGATCATTGCTTTTTTTTTTAATGGGTGTATATGTATCAACAGTTAACATAGCATTCAAACGGTAAGAAAAAAAACAAAACAAAAAAAGAATAGCTAAATCGCATGATTAGCTTAGAAATGTGCTGAAGAATATCAAAAAAAAAATATTGATTATTTGGGATATGCATGTATATCAGCGGAGAAAATTCATTGATTGATCTGCATGATAATCTTTTTTGTTTGATCAAATAGTAAATAGTTTCTATTTACAACCAACTTTAGACATGATCCTCTTCTTTTGGAACAATTATTAAGTTTAACAAATAATAATTCGAATTCTATAGCATCAATAGCATTAATGAAATATTATTTACAAACACGAAAATTTGATGATATTATTGATTATGAATTGATTTTATCGATTGTTAAATATGTTTGTCAAATACGATCAGGTTTATTTAATATTGATAAATAATTTTTTAATATTCGTTTTTTTTCTATTTCAAGGTCATATTCTTGTATTCTTACCGAGTCCGGATGAGATATCAATAATGGCTGATATAATTTTGAGTAGAAATTTTTCGAATGAGTAAGTTTTATTTCATTGAAAAATGATTGATTTAAAATACTGGTTTTTCAATGAAGATTTGGAATAGAAATTCATGCAATTTTAAATCCTACATCATGGTCATTGATCAATAATGATCGTTTACGATTATTAGTATGCATGATGGGATTATTATATTTAAGAAAAAAATATATGGTTTTGTTTTAGATTCTTTGTGACGCTAGTTGCGAAATAGGTGTACCTTTTCGTAATATTAGTTGTGTTATTGATACTGGAATTACACTTGAGGTAAATTTTAACAGAGAAGTATTTTCATTTTTTTGATTAAGTTCAATATTTAAGAAATGTTATCATACAATAGCATCGAAATTTTTACCAAAATATAATTGGATAAGTCAAACAAGTGCTACAGAAAGAAAACATCGGTACAAAAACAAACATGATTAATATATATTTGATTTTTATATGGAACTTAAATTTATTTTTCAGGGCAAATATAGAAGGCGGAGGTATTTGTTATCGACTTTATCCTCATTCTTTATTCGATGAAAAAATTAATGAAAATATCAATTCAGAAATGGCTCGACAACCGTTACTTGTATGTACAAAAAAAAATACCATATATCGATTAATGAAAACCAAACATTACTTTGCTTAAAAAGTACCTTTAAAGAAAAATAACCTATCCAAGATAGAATTCGAAAAAGACAGTTTCTGAAAATTAAAATCCCTCATTATTTTCAATTATGACAGATGTCAATATTAATTGTAATCATCTACAAATGAATAAAAAGTAGTGGTGATTAATAATGTATATAGACATAAGCTGGATCAGTTGTCAGCAGAGACTGGAACTATCTTTCTAATATCTATTTAGAACATATAAGTCATGACAATATGACACTAAAACATTTGTTTCTGGTTTCGCTGAGACTGAAACTAAAGCCTGTCAGGTCCAAATATTTTCAAACTCGAACCCAATCGAGTCTGGGACCAACTCAGCGATCTCTAAGTAGAGCCATGTTGCCCATATACAGAGATACGTAGTGAGTTACTAATTCTTGTTAAATTTATTTCAGTGTGTGACAAAAATAACAACTACAATCTACATATCTATAACAGCAAAGGATATTCTATATATAGTTATCAGTTAATGCACAAGTTTTGTTCTTGTATTTTCATATTTCCTATGTATTTCTTATTAATGATATCGCCATATTTCTGCGATTTTTTGGAGAATGGGTTATCAGAAAGTTTGAAAATTTTCACACCACGCAGATTTTGACGAGCAGAGTAAAATTTGTCAGAGACTCGGAGTTTCTCTATGCTGTTTTCTATGAAATACTCAGATCATAAAGGTTCAATTTACGCTTCCACTTTCCCGAGATGCTATGTTGAATGAAATTGAAAACTTTTTTCAGACAATAGACACAGTTTGTGTTGGGTGTCTTCTGCTTTCCTTTAAATGAAAAAGGTAACATATCGACAATACCAGAAAAATACAGGTTGTTTTGTAATGGAACTTTTTACTATGAGCTACTAAAAAATCAGCAGCACAATATTTATTGGAACAAAAAAAAAGAATATCCACCCTAAACAGTGTATACTATATGTGGAAAAAAGTTTCAACTCAATCGGACGTACTAGGCCAGAAAAACGACAAAAATAGTGTATAGATTTCGCTCGCGAACTGTGTCTAGGAGATAGGTATTGCTTTAGACTACACAATCGTCACATAAAACAAAAACTTAGGGTCATGAAAGCAAGCTATTCTTAACTCTAAAACAAAATTGTCTTTCCTATTTTAGGAAAATATAATGCAAGCAAAATTATTTGCTTGGACAAATTGTTCTGTTGCAGAATTTATGTTAAAATTACCATTTCCTCCACCATTTGCTGTTGTTCGTGCTGGTATTTTACAGTTAAAAGTGAATCATTTATTCATTGATTTCTTCTTTTTTCTTTTGAAAAAAAATTTTCTCATTTAGAGTCTCGATTTATTTGATAAATGGGAAGATCTCGTCGAACTAGGTGCATATTGTTTAGCATTACCTATTGTTGAATTATCATATGCAATGATGATTGTTTATGCTCATCTTTTTAAATGTCTTCAACCAATATTAATTATTGTCTCAACATTAATTATTGGCGATCCTTGTAAATAAAAATAAAATCTAAAAGAAATATATATTTTCCTTTTCTTCCTTACACAGTTCAATCGAAGTCGAATGTTTGTTGTTTATCAGAATTCAAACAACGATTAGCATCAAATAAAAATTCGGATCATTTCGTTTTTTATCAATTATATCTTGTGAGAATTAGAATTTTATTCTTAAATTATTAAAAATAATAATTTATTTTTTAAGCAATGGGAACAATCAATTGATAAAAAACAATTTTGTATTAATCACAATATAAAATATTTTCGTATGAAACAAATTGATTGTTTTAAGTGAGAAATAATGTCAAATAAAAATATGATAGAATCTGTTTTTTTTTCTTCTAGAAAATCAATAATTGATTTTTTAATAAATATCAATTTTTCAAATTTTTTCTATTCAAATAATGATGAAATTATTGATTTAAATGAAAATTCTTCATGTTGGCCACTTATCCAAGCAATACTTGTTCGTTGTTTACCACAAAATTTACTTATATATGATCAACAATGGTTATCAAAGTAAGATTTAAAAGTAGAATATCAATTTGAAATTTTTGTTTTTCTAAAACTTAGTCGAAATGAATCAGTTATATTTGATCAATCATCAATATTATATAATATTCAATGGAATGAACAAGAAAAAATTCGTTTTGCTATATGTGATGATTTAATACGTTCAATAAAAGGTTTCTTTATTGGTAAATATTGTACATTAATTGAAGATATTATTTTATTATTTTTTGGAACAATTAATGATACATTAAAATTAAATGATTATCAAATCATTTTATCAGATAATAATAATAATCTATTTAAATTACGAACTAAATTAAATGCTTGTATAAAAAGAAAATTACAATCACTTGGTTGTGATAATGATACAACAAATGATTATCATTCATTTAATCTATTAGTGAAAATTTTTTCAAGTATTAAGTAATAGAAAAAAAGAAACAACGCAAAACGAAACAAGCCATAGAAAATCTGTGATAGAAAGAAAAAAAAAACAAATGAAATAGAAACTTTTTAGTGTGTTGTGTTTGTGATATTTGTAATAAAATCTTTAGTATTCATAATCACTTTAATTTCATTTTTTTTCTCTTCGACTATTTCGAAGCTCACTTTAAAATAATAAAAAAATCTGTACAAAAAAAGAAAAAAGAAACAGAATGGTTTTTTTTGAATTATATGTGAATGTTCGTTTGTTTTGTTTAGCACCAAAATAAGAGATAAGCATTTTCTTTTTAGACAGAAGTAAATGAGTGATCGCTTAAACTGATTGTACTTGTCAATGAATGACTATCGCTGTCAATATGTGTTGTATATAAATCAATAAGATCTAAATCAAACGCATGATCCCAATCTAATTCAGCTTTGCGATTACGATATTGACCGCGTTGTTTAGGTTCTCTTTGTTTGAATGTATGATAAGTCATATCATTATCGCCATCATCACCGTTTAAATCATGATGAGATGAAAATAGGTCATTTTTGATTTCCATTAATGGTCGAATGGGTTGATGCTGGTAATGATAATGTACGCGATTATAATTGTTATAATATTGTTGCTGTTGGCGACTTGGTGATGTATGTGATGGACGAGTGAAATATTGTTGCTGTTGATGTCGATGATTACTATTGTAATAAATGTTTTTCGGTTGAAAAGAGAATGGACGGTACTTATCTTTTGAACGACGTGCACGTGGATTTGAATAAGTGTCGGTTACCGATCTTTCTTCTGTATCATGTTTAACTGTAACTAATAGATTTGGATATCGCGATGAATATTGTCGTTGTTGACTAGCCATCTTTAGGATATTAATATGAGTCAGTCAAAAAGTTATAATCAACAATGAATAAATGTATGGATGTGCAAATGTTAAAGTATATTAAAATCTATAATTGAAGAACGGATGTAGATGAATGAGAAAAAGTATACTCTCATTTACACACATATATCCTGTACACAAAAGAGTGAAAAAGGATCAACCTTCATCGACCATCAAATAGGTCGCACATCTATCAATCATTCAATTGGACACAACTTATATATATATATGAAGTAGCGCTCAACGTTATTTTTTTTTCCTCTTCTATATATAATAAGGTCCGATCAGAGTAAAAAAAAGTCATTTATTTCGGATTAATTCATTGCCGGCACATTGCGCAAGGATTGATCAGTCGAGATATTATCAACTAAATAATGATGATGATGATGATGATGATGATGTGCTCCGCATATGCAAGGACAATAGTGACATACATACACTCACATTAATGATACCTACGTTATTCAGTTTCTAAAAGGATCAAAACGATAACTGCCCATCATTTATCTAATCAAAACAGTTGTCCGATGTAATGTGAAAACGACTTTTTCGGGTCTTTTTTGTTCTACTACATTAGTTGAGATTTCTTTGTTGATAACAATGCATCATACTTAGTCTATATGTTAAAAGAAAACAGATGTTACCAAAATATTATACTAACAATGAGAAAGAAGTACAATATTACTTTGTTTTTGTTGAATATGATCGCTTATTTTTAGTGATGTTCTATTGAATAAAATGTAAATGCTCACAATATAGATTTATTAAGTAATAGTTTATAGGGTGAAAGGTATTAGTCGAGAAATAGGTAATGTTTTTGAAAATGAATTCAACGAGAATGTGACTAAGGGCAACAGATGAGTAAAGTGAATTTTTTTGCGTTTCGTATACATTTTTCGTTCAATTGAGTCGACTGACAGAAGGATAGAAATGTAGTTTTGGCTTTCTTTTTCTTCCTCATATATCCATCGGGCTTACTTTCTCTCCTTTTTTATATTCGTCGATTTACATGGCATCTGTTGCTTTTTTTCTGTATGAAGTTATTTTTTCTCTCTTCTTTCTTTTTTTTTCTTCGTTAATGCAATAAATAAAAAGAAAGAAATCATTATAAAAGTGAACAAATGAACAAAATCAATAAAAGAAGCATTGTTTCAAACGCTTCTTTTCTTTTGTACTATTGTGTCATACATTTCATCTAAATATAGATATCAACTATGTATATATAACCATGTGTGTTTGTGCGCTTCATTTCGCACATCTAATAAGTAAAATGTATTATCTATATTACAAATATTTACTTGTCGCTATCATAAACAATAGTTATTGAAGAGAAAAGATTTCTCCAAACATCAATATGTACTCGTCGGCAATCGATCAATAAAAGATTCTTCCTGGCATTTATTACCATCCCATACAAGCTATACGTCTACGCACAGTATGATAGAAATAGTGGTAGTAATGGTCGTAGTAGCAATAGCAAAAAAGAAAAAGAAAATAAAAAGGAGACGTGAGACCTAAGCATGTACTCAATAATTAGGCAAGGCATATGTAAAACAGAAAAAAAGCATCGATGGACGAGGATCGAAATCGATAACAAGTGATAGTTGTTGTTGTCGTCGTCGTCTCTGTCATTATCATACAATGAATATAGGGGAAGAGAACATTATTAAGATAAAAGCTAAATCGACATGTCTCTCGTGATAACTATTTCAAATGGTATCCATATATACGTGTGTTATTTGCCTTCTATATCGCTCAGTCTATATAATCACAACTCTTCATTAATTTTGTATTTTAGCCGTTGGTTGCATGATTATATTTTTTCTTTTGAATAGATAGACAGTCAATAATATTTCATATAAGTAAATATGTAGAAGGCTATGTCAAGTATGAATAATGGGCAAAATAAACGTACTTTGATATTTGAAACCAAGCTATTTCTATTGAATGGAGTAGTTTTTCTTTTACAATGATATAATTATATAGTAGGCTATGAATAGTTTTTGTCGTACAATAACAACAACAACCTTCAATAAATAAGATGAATAACTATGAGATCTGTTAATTACAACTTTGAGGACAATTCTTATTTGAAAGTTTTTGTTTTCAAGTGACAAATTGGAATTTGACTAAAAATAATAGCACGAACATTCGTCATTTATCATTTAAATGCCATTGTTTGTATTGGAATAGACGCATGTCAGAAAATATTAATAGAATCATAAAAACATATGTTGTTTTTTTATGCCTTTATTTACATTCAAATATTTAAGCTATAAAATGCCACGCTTTGTAAATTTTTCCACAGGTGACTCAGTGCAATGTAGAAAATCTTCTTATTCATAATGAATCTGATGAGATTTGTTTTATAAAATTCTTTTCTGCCGTAACATATTAGAATTTCTCAAAGAATAAAATAAAATAAATCTTTGACAGGTAAATAAATTTCTTTTCTTCTATTGATGATGGAAATTTTTTTTTTTTTTATTGAAACTCTCAAAACTCAGCATAATGATCAGTCATAAAATTCTGGTATTTTCTTTAAACCTTGTATAAGGACGCCCTCTACTAAAATATAAAGAGTTTATTTTAAAAAATAATTCATTAAATTTTTTATTCATATTAAATAAATATAGATAATAAATTTATAATCTATTTAAAAGTAATAAATTAATCGAAATTCAAGGTAGTTACATAGCAACATACAGTTGATAACTATGATTATATCAGATTATCGTATACTAGCTATTTTCTTTGATGAAATAGAATCTTCTATTTTTTGAGAGTTTATTGAATATAAATATTTGCTATTTGTTTTAATATACATTTTTTTTTCATTTTTGATAAAATTTTGAAGCCTATCAATTTAACATCTTCATACGATATATTTTTTTTACTGATGTACGGCCGATCAAACGTTCGACCTGGTAAAAAAATATTTTCCTTTTAGTTATATTCACTAGAAATAATTTATTTATAATTTTCTGGTTTTTTAAAGTCGGTCGTCCAGCCGCGGCAAGTAATCGAACAACAGCTCGAGCTCCTGTTAATGTAGGTTCGAGTGGTGGATCAATGGGATCATCACAACCTGTTGCACGGTATGTTTACATAATTATTTACGGATTAAACGGGAAAAATTACGCTTATATAGAGGATCAACAAATCGGTATGTAGATGAATCACCTCCAGCACAAGTTCGTAATGCTGGTAGACAACAAAAACCAGCAGGTGGCGGTCAAGGATATGGGGAATATGATTATTTATATAAGAATACTCCTGTAAGTGTTGAAAAAAAACAAAGATAATTTTCATCTGACTTTATACATAAATATATTATTGAATATAGGGAAGAGGTGAACAGTCACCAACTATGCCTCAATTTGTTCTATGTTATGTTTGTGGACGAAAATATGGAACACAATCGATTGAAATTCATGAACCACAATGTTTAGAAAAATGGCATGTTGAAAATGCTAAATTACCTCCAAATTTACGCCGTCCTCCACCACGCAAGCCTGATGTTCATATTGGCAGTAAGTTTTCATTATGTTTTTTATCGTAAGTCTATTTTTATCTAAAATGATGGAATGAAAAGGTGGTGATAGTTATACACTTGATCAAATCAATGATGCGGCTTATGAAGCATCGAAATCTCAACTTATTCCATGTGATAATTGTGGACGTAAGTTTGCTGCTGATCGTATTCAAGTTCATCAACGAAGTTGTAAGCCAGGTCATGCATCCAAACCTATTGGAGTATGTTTGTTTTTTTTATCCATATTTGAACTTAACCATTCGTGCTATTCTATACTATTTAGGTATCTAGTGGTACTGATGGGAGAATGGCTGAGCGATCTAATCAACCAAGAGGAAACTCCTCATATGGTAAATATATATTAACGATTATAATTATTTTGTAAAAGATGATCCAAAAAACGTATTAAAGTATAAGAGTCAAGGTTTGTACTCTTCTCTTCTCCTCTCAGATCATGGCACACTAGAAATGTTCAGCTTCAGTAAACTGCTCATTGATTTACCTGACATACCTACACTATATAGATGTGTGAATACACTCACTGTCAATGTTTCATCGAATATATACAGCTCTATGGTAGACGTTATTGATATACGATCACACACCGTAGCAGATGTTGTTGATATTCGATCAGAAACAGTAGCAGACGTTGTTGATTTGCAAATACAAGCTGTGGCAGATGTTGTTGATATATGATTACAACCAATGACAGACATTGTTGATTTACAAATACAAATCGTAGCAGATGTTCTTGATATATCATCAAAAGTTGTATATAAAATGTGTCCCAAAATAAATAGAATAAAACAATCTCCCTGTAATTAGCCAGAGCAGATATATCATGTTTCACATTTTAATCCTGTAGGGTTTGCATTAACAGCATGTTTTTTATTTATTGAATATCTAGATGATCATGATGATACACCGATAAATCATTCCACACGACGTGGTGGAGGAGGAGGTAGTACATTTCAAAATAGTGGTTCGTCGGGTAGTGCTGGTCTTTATCCATGTTCTGTATGCCATCGAAATTTTTCAAGTGATCGTATTCAACAACATGAAGCAGCATGTATGAAATCTCATAAACAACGTCGTGTATTTGATTCAACTAAACAACGATTACAAGGAACAGAAGCAGCATCTTATTATCGTAAAGGAAAAGGACGAAATGAACCCGCTAAACCTCAAGTAAAATTTATTTGACATAATTCACTTGAAATTGAAAGTTTTCTTTTTGTTTTTGACAGATTCCGAAATCAAATTGGAAACAAAAACATGAAGATTTTATTCGATCTATTCGTTATGCCAAACAAGCCTCGAGTTATGAGAAATCAGGTATGAAAAAAAAAACAGCCATGTCAAAATGTCAACTGAAAGTCATCGATAACATATTTGATAGGAGGTCGTCTAGCTGATTTACCACCACCACCTGCTTCTATGAATCCGGATTATATTCAATGTCCACATTGTGGACGTAACTATGCACCAGGAGTAGCTGAACGACATATTCCAAAATGTGTCAATATTCAGAATAAACCAAGACCACCACCAGGTGTCAATCGAATGGGAACTCAACAACGTGTAGGTGCTGGTAATACTCGTACACCTATAAATAATTATAGCAGTAGCTCTGGTGGTTTTGGCAATAATGCCCCTTATCCACCGCCAAATAGATCAACACGTGGTGGCCGTTATTAAGCACAGAAAAATGTTTTATACAAAGCTTAATTCACCTTCTTTTTCTTTCCGTTTCACTATCATTCCCTAAGTGTTCATGTGGAAAGTATTACTATTCTCTTAATCATTATTTTTCTCTAGTATCTATTAATACTGATATCATTCTAGCAGATTTCTATCAGCAAAAAACAAAAATCTCAGAACACAAATAAGAAAAGCAAGTAAGACATCTATTGTTCTATTATTCAATTCACTTATACAGCTACCGGTTTTTTTCTCTTCATTTGTTTAATTATATCTCTTTTTATTTCTCTATATTGTTTGTTGTTCAAGTTTGTGATAAACCTATGCACTATGATTTACAATCGGAGAAGCTTTCTTTTTCCTTTTTGTTGTTTTCTTTTTAAACTGATAATTGATCATTATCAGATTCGAATCTTCAATCGATATCGTGATTTACATTTATATAATCTCATGTGTCTCACTTTTACACATTCACATTGATATTAAATAAAAATATTATACCAGAAAAAATGCTTACATACATTCGTTTTTTCTTCAAAAACTGAAGTTTATTACATCTATATAATTTTTATATAGGAATTCTACGATTTATATAATAAATAATTAAACAACAGCAAAGAAGGATAAAAGATACATAAGAATAATTATGTATTGTTACTGTTTGATTAATAATATTTGTTGTAGCAACATAGACAATAGCTGTTGATGTTGTCAGATTCAAGCAGTTCCTGATACCTGAATATTTATTACAGAGTCCATCAAGACCATATACATATTTTGTACGATTAGAAATAGATAATATTGAAATAATGCCATAATACCGTCGTGATGGATTGATGTCTAAAGAAAAAAAAATGATTTATGTAGTCTTTTAGATATAAAAAATACTTACTAGAATGTAAACCAAATAAAGTCAGCAAAGCAGCAAGTAACAAAAGTAAAAATAATGCCGAAAGTATCAAACAAAGTAATGGAAATGCTAATATTCGATCACAAAAATTACACAACGGACAATTACGAGTACACCAATATTGACACCATTGACAACAACGATATGATTTTCCTTCCTATTGAATAATCGGATTATTGCATGACAAAAAAACATGATTAAATTTACCTGCTGGAGAGCATAGCGATAGTTTTTTTTATTGATTTTAGCATAGCTTCGACGTATTATTGTTGGCTGTTGATAATGAGAATTTGGTTCATAAGAAATACTTCCGTCAGGATTGATAATTGTAACATAATCAGGAATAGTTTCGTTTGGTGGTGGTCGTACGATCAAAGGTGTTACAGTTGATGTTGTTAACGACATAATGTTTTGCCTTACAAATGATTTAAGTTTTTCGTTTTCTTTCGTGTTTCAAAATCATTATGGACACTACGGGTTGCCATCACCACATGAATGATATGCCGTCAACAATCAATGTTTCATTTTGCCTGTCGACATATGTATTTATTTTTAAATAATTTTTATATGCTTTAATTGCGTTGATATGAAAAGAATTGAAATAAGATTAATCATACATTTCTTTTTATTTGATTCAATTCATACTGGCATATTTTGTAGTCTTAAAATTTTGCATATAAGATGTGAGCGAAAAGTTTCGAGACGCAATATTGGACTATGTTTCGCGTAATTTAAATGCATTATAAAAAGAATGAGGAGTAGTGCAGTAAAATCAGAGTTTTTTGCTGTTTCAGAATATAATTGCTTAGATTTTTTCTGCAACTTTTGACCATTGAACTATAAACAAGTCTTGACAAAACTCAACAATAATTCTTTGAAGAGGCAAAAATCTAATTTTTCTACACATAAATTTGTTTCTTGTAGTCGTCAAAGCTATTAGTACAGTCTCTGCAAGATTAAAATATGAAATACTATGTAGCTGCTGTGCGAATCACAGGATGATTGTCTTATTCTGTATATTTTGGGACGTATTTCTTCACTTTCCTTTTACTTCATCTTCCACAAATGCAATACGAAAGTTTTTAATATATGAAAGTTTATATTTCTACTATATATACTCTAGACAGTCCTTTCAGATCGCGTTTCACAAAATGAGTTCTGTAAATGTTTAGTATTTAAGAGTAAGCTCTAATTCACAAAATGATGCAAAAATGAAGTTGCAATTAATTCTCTAAAAGTTGATAGAGTTATTTTCGAAGCATTTCAATACGTGAATAATGGTCAAATATTTTGTCGAGAAACGTTCAGCCCATCCCTTATAAGTGAAAGGAAAATAAATACTTTTACAAGTTACTGAATATTAAAGTGGCACATTAAAATTATTTAATAAATATTTAATTGAGTTAAGAATTAAATGCGATGAAATAAAAATTGTTTATAACGTATGTTGTCAAGAAACAAGATTATACCTACTATAGATGTTAACAAATACGAAACTAAAATAGAAGCTGATCTAAATGATATAGATAAAACTTTTCAAAATTTATTTTACAAAGTATAGAAAGAAAATTTTCGATAAATACAATAAACGATTAAACAAAAACCTAGCAATATATATGAATAATTCATTGTTATTATTGTTCTATTTATAGTTATTGTTGTAGAAACAATATTAATAGATGTCGATGTCGATATATCTAAACAATTATTACCAGAACCTGTTTTAGCGCAAAGCTTATCGAGATTATATATATATTTAGTACGATTATAAATCGATAATGTTGAAATAATACCATAATAACGTCGTGCTGAATTAATGTCTGTCGAAAAAAAAATGATCAATGTAGACATTGAGATACAAATGGAAAAAACCTACTAGGATGTAAACCAAATAAAGTCAGTAAAGCAGCAAGTAATAAAAATAAAAATAACCCAGAAAGAATAAAAAATAGAAGTGGACATGCTACTATTCGATCACAAAAATTACATATTGGACATTGACGAGTACACCAATATCGACACCATTGACAACAGCGATATGATTTATCTTCCTAAAGCGAATAAGAGAATAAAAAAATTTCACAAGAGAAATCTTTAAAATGATTAATCGATTTTGAATGGAGACTATATGCTTCTTGTAGACTCTGATGAATTATGAATATCCTGAAAAGAGTTCAAGTATTTAGCATATTGTAGCCGAGATACTCTTTTACACTGCTTATTTTCGTCACAGTTGTAATTGGTTCGATTGAAATAGTGGAACCAGCCAGTCTTCACCGAGTTGGAAAATATATTATAGATATGACATTTTTCTCTGATAAAGCGTGTTGAGATTAAGTTTGCTTCCTCTTATCAAAATCATTCAAATAGTATTGCTTCAAGTATTATCAGTTTTATTGTCTTTTGTTTGTCCGTGCATTTTATCTTTTAAAAAGCACAATCGAAACTGTGTTACTTGAGCTAAGCTTGTGTCATATATGTTTTGATAAAAACCAAGTTTAGGTGTAGATCATCGTTAGAAGAGAAATGTTAATTTTCTCTGAAAAGACGGAGGGAGCAAAAAAGAGTTTATTAATCTGTTGATGAATAAATTACTCTTTTTTTTCGTGTTATGTATAGGAATATCACATGCTCATCTATGAGAAACCTAACAGATATATATGAATATTACAGAACATTTGCTTTTGAAGATTTATAAAAACTTGAGTGCAAAACAGGCAAATGAATGTTTTTTTCAAAACCATTGTCATTTGCAACTATTAGTGATTTAAAAAGCCGCTCTTGTTTTGCCGATTTTCACCAATCTAAAAGGCTTTTTGAACCAGTCAAATTGGACCAGTTAAAGAATTCTCGATAGATTACAAAATGTCATGTCCATTGACAAATATGATGTTTTTATTTTAGAAATATAACAGATCAAAAGATTTGAAACATTTACAGTATAATATTCTCATGACGATCTGTCTTTAGGCAAAGAAGTTTCAAGTTAGAATTAGATATCCTATTTCGCTTGTGTGCCTTGGGGACTACGGTATCAACTTGAAAAAAAAAGGTGAAATGCGGTATTTTAATAGTAATAAGCGAAGAGTCCGAACATTTTCTGGATACTCATAGCTCATTAAGACCTACACGATGCACATAGTATCGACTTCGAAGAGATACATTAGTTATGAAACTTTTGTCGTAAGAAAAAAAATGTTAATTAAGTTAACCTGTTCGATTGTATATCGATATTTTGGTTCAGAAGGTTGTGGATAATTACGGTATGTAGTTCTTTGTGTTTGATAATTAACATATGGCTCATAAGTAATCGTTTCATTAGGATTAATTATCCTCACTTGATCGTAATTATTTTGATTTCTTGATGTTTGTACGATCATAGGCATTATTGGTGACGTTGTCAACGACATGTTATTTCGATGTACAAATGATTAATATTTATTTCTTTTGGTTTTTTTTTTTCTCAAAATGTTCTTGAACACAGCAGGATATCAATAATACATAAATAATACGACGACACTGTCCAAAAAAATGACACTTTTATCACCTACACATATGCACTCTTTGGAACCAATATTTTACTTGAAAAATCGTTGAAATGCATTTCATTTAAATTGATCAAAAAGAAAATCTATTCATTTTCTGAGCAGTAAATTTAGTGAATTTTTCATCTTAGATCATCTTGACATTGACAAGGAAGGAAGTCAATAAAACTTGAATAAAAACAAGTAAACATGACAAAAAAAAAGAGTTGAAATTTTCCTCAACATGTTAAGCAACAGAATATTTGTTAAAAGTTTTTCTTTTTGCTTTTCAATAATAATAATATCTTGCCACGATTTTTTTTTTCTTTTCAGTAAAAATATATTTCATTTATCTCAAATACAATTATTATAATCATATTCTTGATCAATAGAACGAATAGCGAAAACTACTCAAGCAAAATTGATATTTATTAGATAAATAAAAAAAACCGAATTTTTTTCCATAAATATAATAAATTATCAAGGAAATAAGAAACAAAAACTATCAATATATATATATATATGAATAGATTCTTGTTATTATCATTTGTTGTATTACTGGTTTTTGTAGTAATATTAACAATCAATGGCAATGTTTTTATATTTAAATAACTTGTTGAGACAATGCCATAATAACATTTTGATGGATGACGTCTATAGAAAGAAACCCGATCTTTCTCAAATTTGAGATATGAGAAAAGACTGAGTTATATGTCAACGGAATAGAATCAGTAAAGCAACAAGTAATAAAACTAAGAAGAGAACAGAAATAGAAAACAAAATAATGACTATGCTCAAATTCGATCACAAAAATTACATATGGGACGTTCACAAGTTCGCCAATATTGGTGCCGTTGACAACAACTATATAATTTCCCTTCTGATCAAGAGCAGCAAGAATGAATACACAACAAAAGAATTAATTACATTAAACTAGTCAATCGTATAACGATATTTTGGTTTAAAATATAATAGTAACTATAACGTATGATTGTCATTTGTTGATAAGAAACATTTTGTTCATAAGAAAAACTTCTATTAGGCTTAATGAACAAAAAAAAACAAATTGTCAATAGAAACATAATTATCTAGTATTTAAATCATCAAGAGTATTAGATGTTAGCTAATATTTCTAATGATAGACTATGTTGTCTATCAATGAGTTTCAATTCTGTTGTTTTTCATTTCAAAACCACAGTAAACACGACAGGTGTTGTCTACCTTATCATACAACTAATTCTATGACAAAACTTTTGTATATTTTATCTCAACACAAAATATGCAGACGAATCATATATTTTCTTTTTTTCTCTGCTTGAAAAGAAAAAAACATCAAAATACTAATATTCTATCATTTAAAGCATTCTTTTTTTTTGCAATACATATAAAAAAGAAGAAGGAAAATACGACAATAATAATGATGGTAATAATGATAGTAAAGTAGTTTATTTAAGATATTTGGACGTATTACGCTGCATCAAATCCATACATGGTCCTAATAAACGTTCAAATGATTCAACTTCTAACGAAGCTAATTTAACTTTTGGACTAGCTGCTTTAATTGTTGCTGATCGAGGCTCATGATTCAGTAAAGCTAGTTCGCCAAAATAATCACCTTTAATTATACGTTTATGAAATTTACCATTCATATATATATCACATTCACCATCTTCAATAAAAAACATTCGATCACCTTCATCACCTTGTTTAATAATTATTTCATTTTGATCATATTCGACGGGAATTAAAGCATCAGCAACATTTGATCTTTCATAATCAGTTAATGATTGTAAAATAGCAAGATCACGTAAGAAATTTTCATACATTTGTCGCTTACGATATGCATGTTTTAAAACAAGTTTACGAAATGTTTGTCGTCCCATAACCCATAAAACACCATTTGTAGTAGCAATAATTGTTGCTGAACGTGGTTGATTATACATAAGAGCAAGTTCACCAAATGAACCTATTTGATTATATTCACCAACTTTAATTGGTTTACTAAAATCAGCTTCTTTTGATACATAAATTTCATAAATACCGTTATCAATAACATAAAAATGATCACCGTCATCACCTAAAATAGGATAAATCAAAAAGATTTTTTATTTGTTTTGTCATAACATAAACGAACAATTTTTTTATTTTACCTTGTCGAATAATAACTTCACCTTTTTGAACTGTTTTTTCCCACATTGCATCAAGAACTTGATCAATTTGTTTAGCTTCAAGTGTACGAAATAATAAATTATGACAAACAGCATCTTTTAAACGTTGACGTTGTTCAGGAGTCTTTGGATAAACAGAAGCTTGTTCACTATCAGAATCATTATCATCTTCAGGATTATATCGTTCAGCTGCAACAGATACTCGACGAAATTCATTTTTTTTCACATAATGACGCTAAAACAAATAATTAGATCATCAATAGAAAAAAAGAAAAGAAAATTTATTCATAAGTCATGCTATTTACGTACTCGCAGCTCTTCGTCAGCAGCAAAATCATCAAGTGAGTTATTCTTTTCATCATCATCTTCACTTGATTTATCTTCATTATCTGTTTCTTCTTCTGTTGATATTGATAATGTATGATCATTTGATATATTTTCTGAATTATTTATGTCTATATTTGTCATTGATTTATCTTTTTCGAATGTTGAATTATTGTTTTCTTTAGTTGCATTGTCTCCTAAATCATAACAACAAATAACAATCGCTGTATTAGTTTGATGTTTCGAGCTACCTAATTTCCATAAAGATCTATCCATTTTCTTTTTTGCTTTATTGTGATGTTGATCACAATTTAGTTAGCGCAAAAAACAAGACGAGTAGACAAATAGGGCAAAATCGACAAAAAAAACATCAATTGTATTTCTTTTCCTTCTCGAGAATATATTTATTTAGTTTCTAATAATATGACAACAGTCTCATTTTTTAGTTTCTCTTAGTCGTATTTAGTTTCGAATCGTGTTCTTCAAATTATCGTTTTAGTCTTTTTCATAGTAGAAAGAAAACCAAAACCTTGAGTATTATAGTATCATTCTGTCTTTTTTCTTTGTCTCTTTCGAATATATTTTTACATAATGAGAAATAACATGATTCATTGATAAGCCTCTAGGGTCGATTGAAATGCAATGGATGTCAAATGAGTATGGAAAAGACATATTGTTTTCTTCTGGTGTTGCTCTTACGAATAGCAATCCTATAGTAATCAACAGACTATAACATGAAATAAGAAAAAATATATACATTCTACATTCATGTCACGCAAACATCTATTGTCTATTTTCTATATTTTTTTTTTAACAATCTATAAAATTGACTTTGTGTTTCTGGTATCAAAATGGACTAAATGCAAAAGCTCATTTTGTCGTTTTCTTTCATTTTAAAGCGGAAAACAAGATCTGCTCGTACTTGTCTTAATGAAAAAATATGAACGTTAATGTTTGACATGACTTTTGAATGCACACACACAACCACACACTCTATAGATACACACCGGATGTCAATTTTCTAAGTGCCTATATAGAATCGATCGAGCCTCATGCAAAACACTGATTTGTTGATTATAAACAAGCAAATGAAAACTAACGCTACTTGTTTCCGTTCGTAATGTAAAGATGAATCTAATAAATAAATGTATGTAGTTTTATTTTCATGACTTTACCTTATTTGCTTCATTATAACGAACAAAATATTTGTTATTTCTAAATTTTGCTTTAAAACAATCGATGAAAACTCATAGAAAGAAGTATCGAAATGATGATGAGACTTTTTTTGTGTTTGTGAAGCAGAGAGCTAGGGCACATCAGGAAATGTCTTAAGAATCCATCGACAGAATGAAAAAAAAAATATTGCGATTAGCTAACTATGAACCTGATGATATAACGTTGAGATCTGATGTTTGCTGTTGTTGTGGCTGTTGACTAGTGGAAGAAAACGAAGATGAAGAAACTGTCGTAACTGATTTGTTGCCTGTCATGAGTTGTTCTGATTGTTGCCTTTGCTGTCGTTGTAATTGCGTAAAATATTCAACAGCATGATCAATAATATCACGTGGTTTTGTACGTAATACGCTCAATGTGAAATTACGTAAAATACTTGGTAATTCACTAGGAATTTCAATCTGTGTCATTAGATGATATATTATCAAGATCTAAAATTGTAAAAGAGAAGAAAAAAGAAACGAACAATATGAGTTTTTTTATATTGTCACTTGTAATAAAAAGAACATTTTTTATCATTATTGCTATATGACCATGTTTTCTCTCATTTTCTCTTTTTTCCTCCTACTTCATATATACATCTATATATGCATACTTAAAACAATAACGATAGTCGCTAGAGAATGTGAATGCAAAATGAAAAGTAGTATTAAGACTAAAGAATATATTTATTTTACCTTTTGAATTTCTCGAACGAACGATGAAGAAAAGTTCACATACACGCACAAAAAAGAAAAAAAACGAGAGAATATAATAATAATCATAGCACGTTCTTATAATGTCTCGAAAAAAGCATTTCTGATGTTTTTCAGAATCGCGCATGCATTAATAATAACTTTAGTTCGTTGAATTCCGATGTAAAGAATACCTATTGGCTTGAATCATGTGTCTCTGCATTCATTTATATTCATCCATCGGTTTATGTTTTGTTCTCTTCTTTTATTTTTACAAAAAAAAACGTACAGAACAATTTCTTTCAATCTCACTTATGTGGCTTTTTTCTGTTACACTGTCCTCATTTTGATATTTGTCCTAAACTAGTTTTCTTCCTTCTATAAAAATGGAAAAAATAGGTATCAGAAATCTAAGAAAAACATGTTTTTTAAGTTGATTTTAGTAAAGATGTGCAAAATGACGTTACTGTTTAATTTTGTGCTTGTTGTTGTTCAAGTTTCTTTCGTCTCCTCTTTCCTCTTCCGTTAAGAACCAAATTTTTTTTGATGATGCTCTTGCCTTTGCCTCTTTTTTTTTCTTTTTTTTATATTATAAGAGAAAGCGAGAACAAACAATAATAAAGCGTTGACAACTTTTCTCAGCATATAACAAAGTCAACGCCCTCTGGCTTTTTCCAAACAGAATTATCATTTCAAGCCTCATCTATCTCTAGTGTTTCTATCATCTTGATTTTTTTGTAATAGAAAAATATAACATATATTTTGACTACTCTAACCGCAAAAAAAATCAATTTTTTTTCTCTTCATTTTTTTTCTGCTACAACGAAAAAAGAAATGAGAGAATGAAAACAAAAGAACAGATCAACTTTCTCTGCATCTACAATTTATTCTATACATAGTCCTCAGCAACGTTATTAAAGGACTGTTGAAGAAAAGACAAACTTCAACAAAAAAAATAGTTTTCTTTACGGTATGATTTCTTTCGCCGCTTACATCGTCACTGTTGTTGTTAACACCGAATGCACAACATTACAACCGATACGATTGGTGATAATTAGAGCGCTATAATAAAGATATATGTATGCTTGAATACATGGTCGATTCCCAGTAGACTTTAATTTATTTATTGCTTACTAGATGATCCAAAACTTATGCTGAGGGTGAGCTCAATGAAAATCGAGTTGTTGCATTGATTTCTTTTTCTTTTCTTTTTTGTTTTTAAACAAAGAATAAATGAGACACGACGCATACACATTTATACATGGGGCTCTGTCTGTCACCGAGAGAATACACATGCTCACCTATTCGAACGTGCTGATGTCAATAGAAAAAGAAAATCAAAGAATAATAGAAAGAAAACATAAGAGATATAAACATAAAGGCAATCAACAGCCTGCCAACAGAAAGCCTGTTCCGAAAACAAGCAGCTGACACGTGCGACTGTTTTGCTTGCTCAAAACTCTTCTGATTTTCTCAATAATCAAATAACTTAGGCGTGCTTGCTGTATTTTGTTTATTGCTAGATAGTAGAATGATGACGATAAATGGATGTACAACGACGATCATATATGCTATTTGTAGTAATTAGTCCGGTTAAGAGACAAAGTGATCGAGTTAATGGATTGTCAATCGATGAAAGGAATAGATATACACATAGAAATAAAACGCCTACAAAAAGAAAACAGAAAAACCTCATCAATAAACTTTTAGAAAATCTAAATTGCATGGTGTTCAAAGAAAAACTCAGAATTGGGGAATAAAAGCTAAATGAAATCACGCAGAAAATTGCTACCCGTAGGGCTTGGTTCAGTTTAGGAGTTGTTGCATGCCTTTCAATATACATGTTAGATTGGCAATGATGATGAATGACGAACTATGACATTTGATTAGTGTTTGATTAAAGCAATGTGTATTGTGTTTGGGTGTGCGTGCGTATACCATACGTTTAACTAATAGAGAGAGGCAGAAAAAGAAAGAAAAAATAATAATCACTGGCTTTTCCATATGCATTCTTAGATTGGCACATAATAATAACCATACTAGACATATTTGGGACTAGAAAGAACCTACGTAGTATACAGCAAAAAAATGAGGCAATACGGAGAAAGGAATGCATTGTGACTTTATAGATGCGTTCTCTTCTCTTGTTTTTTTTTTATCGTTCTCATTATTGAAGCTTCTCATCGTAATTGTGAATGAAAGATGAAAGCCAGCAAAAAAGAAAATGAAGAACTGGTATAACATTCATTTGCCGTTGTCTTCCATTGTATGAATGTGAGTGACAATTCTCTTTGAATTTAATGACCTTGTTCGGCGCATCATTGTCGCTTCGATAAAATCTCAGCATTAACAAACATGAAAAAGACTGCTACTTTCTCGAAAAAGTAAGCAAGGCAAAAAACATAGAATATTAATGGCAAGATATATTGATAATGAAAACAGAAGAAAGAAATATGGTCTATTGAAGCCATTGAAGTGTCATCAAAAGAGTTATTATGTCTATGTTATGACAGGCAAAAGATTTCGCTACTTCTTTGAAAATAATATTGTCTTTAAAAGAAGTCAATGAACGTATTTTAGGTTGTCAATGTCTAGTAATGCATTTATTTTTTCTTATATTGATATGTACTAAAAATATATTAGCATTAGTTTTTTCAATGTCATGGTGATTGCTCCATTGATTGATTATGGTGATTCTTTAAATAATATTTATATTTATCTACATTCTTCTCTGTTCTATTTGATTATCATTCTGCGAAAAAAAACCTTTTCAAAAATGTTTTTTAAATGAATTGAATAGCTTTGATTATCTAATATTTTCTGGTTCACTATTTCTTTTTTTATATTTATTCATTCAATGATCTAATAAAAGACTCATTGAACAGATCCTGTTTTGCTTTTTAAGAATATATTGTTAACTTCTAATTGAATCATTGACATAAAATTCAAGATTTCTTCAAATTTTTTTTCTCAACAAAATTCTATCGATAATAATTTTAATTAGATCGATTGATAGTAGCTACTATGTCTTACATTGTCCTTTTATTGCTCTAATCATATTTTATTAGATTACAAGACAATCAAGTAAGCAATAGAACCAACTTAATCTTCTCTCATAACTATGAAGTTCGTCATGATAATCAGCGTGTATTTATGATACTTGCATCAATAAAATACTTATAGAATACTTCAGTTTGCGTCAGTTACTAATCGACTAACGTCATACAAATTCAATAATAATGTCGCAACTAATGAAAATGAATATCGACTATGCGGCGAGCTTGTGAAACTTTTATGGATTGTCATATTGTATTCTACTATATCTGATTGCTTCATTTACCACAAAAAGCAATGAAGTATTAATTTTTGTAATACGTTATTTTGTTATAAAAAAAAAAGAAAATAACAAAGAAACAACATTAGTAAAATTCTAGATATGGAGATTAGAAAGGAACGCCTAATAATAATAATCACATAATCTTTCATTAAAAATAAATATTTAGATGAAATGTCACAGTCAAAATCATAAGTAACTTTTAAAATAATCAACATACACTTTATCAATGTCTTGACAAGAGCTCTTTTTACTTAAAAAAAGAACAAAGAAAAGGAACTCTTATAAAATAGAATTGAATTATTTTATATAACAGCATATTAATACGATTGACCTTTATCAATAAACAATATCAACTGGTTAGAATTTCTGTACTTTTCTATTAATTTTCACCTGAAAAATTCAATTATTCGGATGGATTATTATTTCCGAATATTACATTAGTATGGTTTAATGATGTTTGAGACAAATGTTTCGGAAATGTCATCTGTTATTTATTTACTTCTTTTCTGTCGTTCTTACCTTGACTTGTCATTTGTCGATGACATCTGACATTAGACATGCAGAAAACAGCAATGCAATATCAAATTATTTCCAGAAACATTTTATCTGTTATGTTTTCTTCGATTAACCTGATGTATGACAAATCAAATCACATTCTATTTGTTCCTTAAACTCACCTCAAATCTTGTCGATTTTATTGGCATTTTTAATAACAGTTTTAGACATTTTCGGATAAATAACATTGATCCAAATATCATTAATATTAAAATGAAATTCTATTTTATTACTATATTCATCTTGAAACAGTTTTCTCTAATTATTCAATATAATTTTAACTTTACCTTCAATTTTATATGTTATTAACATTAATCCTTCATTAAATTATTTGATAACTTTTTTTTTTTTGGAAGTAATCTTTTTCTTCTTTTTCTGATCTTTTCTAACATGCATACCTCTGACATGTATTCAACACAATATATCCTACTTTTCCTCTATTGACATTTATCCATTTTTAAAATACATTGTGAGTCGTCTTAACGAAAACTTGATAACATTTTTTAATTTTGATAGTAGAACAAATGTAAATTTTCAAATGTGTGTTATAATACTTTTCATCATATGACATACACCCGACAGGATTAATGCTTTTTTCAATGAAAAAAAAAACAAAACATCTAGTATTATTCAATTGTTTCTTATCGAAAGGAAAATTAAAAACAATAATGATTATACTAAAGTCTCAAGTATTAAGACTCCTTCACAACAGATTTTCCACTGAAGATGGTCTATTTGCACTGACATTTTTAAGGAACGAGTGATCCTAGTGAGAAATACTTCTCATCATAATTTTAGGCCAATATGTCAAACTAGATTGAAATTATGACTTATTTATCGTAAA